CGGGAGTTGTCATGCACTAAATTTTGGACAGAAGTTTTCTCTGCATTGTTAGATATTCAGCATGTACCTCAGTTTCTTGCTAGGGTTTATTACAGTTCTTGATTGCATGCCAAATACATATGTTCCTCTAGGGCATAGTAGATGTCTAAGTAAATATTTATCGGAAGAAAACACTTTTTTGAGATAACCGCAATGATCCAAGCACCTGTTTCTAAGCAAGACTTCTCTCCCAAGAAGTGTATGAGAATACACAGAAGGTGCCTGAAATGTAGTTCTTCCATTTGATAAAATATTCAAGGACCTGCTGTATGCCTGGTGAGTTTCTGTGGGTGAGAATAAATATACACCCTGAGTGGAAAGAAAGACAAACAAGGAATGGGAAGAGCCAGGAAGAAATACAACAGATGTGAGAAGCTGAACTGTAATGGGATCAGTCAGCTAGGAACTACCCCCTCCAAGGGCCTGCTGATGGTGAGAGCACACAGGAATTAGGGTGTGGGACAAGTGAGGGTCTATGGTTCCTGGAGGTTGGGGAGCAGACTTGAGTTTTTATTCTGGTTGAGATAAGAATCATGAACAACAAGGACTCGATAAACTGAAGTGTCCTTTTACCTTTTTTTTTTTTTTTTTTTTTTTACTGTATTAAAATCATACTAAAACATTTCCTAAAGTATCTCACTATGACATGGCCCAGGACAAGTCATCTAGTTTTACTTCAGTCTGCTGAAACTCCAGGGAAGATTACATTTCTTTAATCAATATACCTATAATTTAGTACCAAATGTCAAGAAAGTGCTTTGAAATTTGGGAAGTCATACAACCATCTGGAATTACTATTGTTACTATAGTGATATCCATGCTTGCAATGCATTGGTCTTTGGACTTTGGTCAAACACACCATTCCCTTTTCTGATGTTCTTGGGCTCATCATTGAGTGTATGAGCTACTTGGTGAAAAATTATGTTTCTTATTCCTAAATCATCACACTTAGGGTGAAGGGTTACTTGTCAGACGCCTCACTGACGGTTCAACTCAGGGAAGAGCACTGTGTATAGGCAAGAGTGTTCACGTCAAGAGATTTGTGCTAGTGTGACTCCCTTGGTTCAGTGGACCTGAAAAATCTCTGAAATAGATATCATATGTCATGACCACTAGAGTTGTGTGTCTATCATGGAATGACTTAAATTACGTAGGATCCTTGTCATCAAAACTTTCCCTGCAAGATACTTGGAAACAGTCAGTGCTTAAAAAATGAGAGGTGAGTGGTACTATTTAACTTGCCAGGAATGCATTAGCAGTGAACTGAGTCGCTTTTCTTTTTTTTTTTTTTTTTTAAGATTTTATATCAATAGCGTGGTGTATCATGTGGGGAGAAACAGCCAGAGAATGCTGCGTTAGAGAGCAATAAGAAATTATTGCATTAACCCTCCACCACATTCAAATGTGAATGGTCTCCAAAAGTTCTCTAATTTTTCAGATTTCTAAAGAATCCTGAAACTGCTTATTATATATAATCAACATAAGCTTGGGAAGTTCTTCCTTATGTCTGGCCCAAATCTTCTACAATTTGTATGCCTTTCTTTTTCTCTATACAAATGGAAAACAGCTGCCTCGGCATCCCAATAGCAACCTGCATGTACTTGAAGCTGATTGTTAAGTCACCCCCAGCTTTCTTCCTCTGGACTAAGTAGTACCTTTAACTTATCTTAAAAGTTTCCATTTCCTACCCCTTTAATCATCTCTTGATCTCCCTAGGCTTTTCTACAGCCTTTTTAAAATGTGGACTCCAAAGCAGAACATAATATTTTAACAAATCTCATCATTAACTGGGATCATTTCCTTCTCAAGCAGTGATACATAATTGTCATTTACATGGGAAATCTGGCAATTTTATCCACATCCAAAAGGATGAGATGTCGAATGAACATTTCCCTTTTACAGTGGACTGATCTACAGTTGTGGCTGCAGATGCTGATTGTAGAGTTTGATGCCTTGCAAGCCAAACTCCAGGTCTGTTCTAAGACATATGTTGCCTGTGTACTCATGAACCTTTTGGATTCAGCGGTCAGTTCTATATCACAGGAGTCCTTTCTCAGACACTGTTTCCTGCTAGGCAAAACGTTCCTGTACTTTGTTACTAGTTCCGCTTATAAATCAAAGATGCACACAACAATCATAAAATCCCTTGGGATTTCACTTCCTCTTGTGAGGTGGTTTTTCTTCCAGCCATGTATAGAATAGGAGAAATTGTTTTTCTGTGTTTAATCTCATCAAAATCATACAGAATGAGGAGGATCTCAAAAATGGCTCAGAGAGCACAGAAAGATAAACAGAAATTAATTGTACAATGCCCATTGTTTAGGAGAGATTTGGGTTATTGACGAAACTGACTTGACCCATATGACATTTCTGTTGTTTGGGACTTTGTTTGGCTCATTGATGTGACCTGTATCCCGTCCCTCTTCTCCCTCTGTTAAAACTTTAGTTCCTTGTGTGGAAATGTGAGAGAGTTTAGCGTCATGACTGTCAGTGGAAGCAGGCGTACAGATACAACCAGAGAGTTCCATTGCTTACTTCCATAGGCTTCTCCTCTTCAAGCAAAGCCTAACTCGGGCTCACATAGTCCGTCAACTTCTGTTGGCCTCATAGGAAGCAGGGATCCTGGCATGAGTATTGAGAATATGTGACCTTAGACATGAGCAGGCAAGAGGGCCAGAACGATTACGTGGTGAGACTCCTTAAGTTAGCATAACTATCTACACACATATCTGTTTTAGATATACAACCTAGAGATTTACTGACATCGTAGTCTACCTTTCTCCAGATACTAAAACTCATTAAGCAGCGATTTGGAAGTGGTAATTATTCTTGTACTTGGAAGTAATGTCACTTTGCATTGCAATCAAACTTGATGAATACATGGGACATAAGGCTTGGAATAATTGATTAGTGAGGTCATCTTGATTTAATGAATGAAATATAGCTCAGCTACATTTCATAGCAAGATTGTATATATTTCTTTCTGAGACAGCTTAACAGTTGATACATTGTGTCAATGAGGAGTTTAGAAGTTTAAGGGATTCAGTAGGTGGCCAGGTCTCACTTTGTAAACATCCCAAACCTGGGCAAAAGGAAGGCACAGAGATGGTGTGAGTGCTATAATCACCCTGGGGAGTTGGGGGGTGTCTGGTTATAATATAAGAGAGGAAAAGAGGCTTGTTCCCCTCTTTTGCTGTCTTTTGCCACCTTGAAGTGTTGCCCCTGTGCCATGCCACTTTGCCTTGGAGCCAGCTGATTATGAACTGAAGCCTCTATAAGCTGTGAGCTAAATAAACCTTTCCCTACTTAATTTTGGATGTTAGGTATTTTGTCTCAGCAACAAGAGAAAAGGAACTAAAACAGAATTTGGTACCAGGAGTGGGATCATTCCTGTGACTGTACCTGATCATATAGTTCAAGAGCCTTTGGGAATGGCTTGAGGGAAGAATTTGGAAGGGTTCAGAGATATTGCCTGAAAGAGTAGTGCTGGAACTGCTTAGACTATTCTGTGTGAGAGATTCTTGTCAGAGCTAAGATGACCAAGAAGCTGATAGAAATCCTACCAGTGAAGACCAAGTTCTGGAGATTTTCACTGAGAAGGACTGAATTGGGTGCTGGACTCCAGATGGTAGGTGTTATGGCTTGGCAAAAAGTTTGTCTGTGTTTTGCTGGTGCCCAGAGACTTTGCCTGAGACTAAGATTAAGGGCAATGGACTAATTAAAATGGCAGAAGAAATTTCAAGATAATCTAATGTTGAGGTGATGGTCTGGCTATTTTTGGGGGGGCTTTTAGCCAGATCTATGTTGGGAATGAGGAGCAAAGAGCCCAACAAGATGATTTAAAGCATTGTGAGTTTGACCAGAAAAAAAGCTCCAGGAAAGCTGTGGTCTACGAAGACAGAGCTAGGAGGATCTTGATTGCTGAGAAGGAACAGGAGAATATAAAAGATGTCTTGAGGAGATCACAAGAAGCAGCAAGTCTCCACTCTTTGCAGCCTCAAAACTGCAAAAGTGAAAGGAAAAGCTGCAAAGAACCATGTCCCAGAATGGCAGCAGCACAGAAAATTTTTTCCTCAGAATTGGATTCCGAGTCCCCAGCAGTCTAGGCACTCAACCCCTGTAGCCAAGAGAGAGGAAGACCTGGCTACTGCTCCAGCTGGCAGCAGACCTTGGCATCATCCACATGACACTACCTTTAGGCACATACAGAATGTAAGAGTTTGGGGTTTAAAAATGCTTTCACCGTGGTTTCAGAAGGCCTGGGAGGCCAGGCAGTGCGCCCCTAAGAGGGCAGTTTCAGGTTGTAAGGGTGAAGCTGAAGAGGCCAGGGTTTCACTTTGTAAACATCCTGATCCTGTGCAAGAGGACTGCAGGGAGGTGGTGTGAGTGCCACACCCACCCTAGGGAGACGGCAGCCTACTTAAAATATAAGGGAAGAAAAGAGTCTTGTTCCCTCCTTTTGCTCTTGCTACTTTCACTGCCTATGCCATGGCACCCTGCCTTGGAGCTAGCGGATTATATAAGGACTGAAACCTTGACAAACTGTGAGCTAAATAAACCTTTCATTCCTTAATTTTGGGTGTTGGGTATTTTGTCACAGCAGTGAAAGAAAGTAACCAAGACAAACTGGGTCTCCTATATAGTTCAGGCTGGCTTGAACTCACTGGGTCTCTAATATAGTTGAGGCTGGCCTCTAACTTCCAGCAATCCTCCTGCTCACCCTCCCAAGTACTGGTACTATCGGTGTGCACCACCACACCTGGCCTAAAACACAGTCATGAATGTGCCAACTGTGTGCTTGAGTGTATGTAGATCTGGTGTATTTGTGCTTTAAAAGTGAAGAAATTCCCAGATGGTGTCTTTTTCCCTGCTAAAAATGCATTCTTTTATGATTAAACCCTTCATGTGTGCTACTCTGTAGACACAGAGCCTGCCCATGACTTGGCTTTTTCTTTTTCCAGTCTAATAGGCAGCCAGCCAAGTTGAACCTTCTCACCTGCCAGGTGAAGCCAAATGCGGAGGATAAGAAGTCCTTTGATCTGATATCACGTGAGTCTTTTTTAGAAACCTTTTTCTCTGAGTCAGTAAGTTACTGTGGCTTCTGACATCTGAGTGTTTCTTTTCTGAGTATGGAAGTAGTAACTTTTCCTAAGCAGGCTGTTCACAGATTGCACAACTTCTTGTTATTCCAGCATGTGCAGCTCTATGAAGATTCCTCAGAGTCAGTCTGTCTATGTCTGTCTCTGTCTCTCCCTCCCCTTCCCAACCTCTCTCTACCTGCTTCCCCTTTTCAGGACAAAAGTACTGCTGTGTTGCCCAGGCTGGCTATCAGTCCTGGACGTAAGTGATTGATCTTCCTGCCTCAGCCTCCCAAATACTTGGCCTAAAAGTGTGTGCCATAACACCCAGCTGCTTTTGTTCTCTTCATTTGCACTGAAGCCACTTGGCCTTGTGAAGGATTTGAAGACCATCAGTAGAATACAGATTTGCATGTTGAACTGGTGCAGTGCTTGACTGTGACTATACAAACTTTTTCCTGTGGAGAGTTTTTCTAAGTATATTCAGTTTTCTCCCAATCTCCTGAAATACAGTCATTGATGTGAGGCCCCAACAGGATTTTTAAAAGCCCCTAGGTAGTTCTGATGTACACTGTGGTTAAGAAGCACTGATGTAGACTAGGGAGAGCACTGTGACCATATAATAAATTCAACCAGAAGAATATCTGCAAGATCAGGATCTTAAAAGGAAGATAAACAGTGAGGGGATGCACTGACCTGGGCGGTGCAGTCTGAAGGCAGTTCTTCATGAAAGTAAGGAGATTTATCTTCCTTTTAAGATCCTGACCTTGCTCCTTACCTCAGTGCATCCCCTCACTGTCTTACTCCCAAGTTCAGAGTTTGCTCTTCAGCTGTGAGCAGAGCATAGTGAGCCACCCGCCCCACGACCTGCAGCCTGCTCACAGCGTGCAGCACCAGGCCTTTCGATCTGCCTAGCTCTGTGGACGCCCTTGGCGGTCCCACTGCAGGAGAAAGGACACTGCCCCCTTCTGGAAGGAGAGCAGGGCCCTTACCACTGTCCTGTTGTGTCCCACAACACCAGCCTTAATCTCTGCTCCTTCTGTATCAGCCAAGCAAGAAGACCAATAGCCAAAGGGCATGATCTGTAGAAGCACAAAACACTTTCCTGCCTTGAAATCCTTTTGATAGAGTTGCATGCATGGGAGCACAAACAGAGTCTTGACCCAAAAGTATGAATCAGCTGTGAGGCTGTTTTCATGAAGTCTGAGCTGGACTCGGCAGCATCTCTGTGGAGTTCAGGTTCCCATGACATTTATGACCAAGACATTCTTGGGTTATTGAGAAGCGTAAAATAGGAAGAGATGAGCTTAATAATATGTCTTCAAAAAAACCAAGAACTTCTAGGATCAAAAACCCATCGGTTATTACTAATGGTTACTCATCGGTTATTGAGCATCTAAATGTGCCTGGTGCTTTTTATTCATCATTGCTAATTCTCAGCAATGCCCTGTGAGTTTCTTGTTTTATAGAAGAAAAAAGTAAGATGTAACGAGGTTCAGGGACTTCCTCTGGCCCTGTAGCAGTAAACCAGGGATTCAGCCAAGGCTGTCATGTACTTCTGTCTATGTGTTCTTTCCCTCTCTCTCTTAGAAATGAAGGGCATGGGTGCCTAGCAAGGAGTGATCCCCGAAGGAAGTACTCAGTGAATGTTGTTCTGACTTGAATGTGTTAAAGCATCCTTAGGTATTTTAAGAAAACACTTCCCTGAAGGACCCAAGTTAGGCCTCTCCCTCCCCTGCTTGGGTGGCAGACATTGGTTCTTCCTTCCTGAATGAGTGATTCAGCAAGAGGGCAGGCCAGAGCCTGGGTAGAGTTTCAGGCTCCCTTGCAGGTGGGCCCTCAGATGAGCAAAGAATGTCTACACAGAAAGTACAGACAGTCACACCCTTGCCACTGAGCCCGCAGGGTTTGATGGGTTCTTGCCCCTCTCACTGGTCCTCCTATTTGCATGGTTTTTTTTTATTCTACTATTTCTCTTGTACTTAAGAAAAATAGGGGCTGGGAATTTAGCTCAGTGGCATAAGCACCTGCCTTGCAAGCAGGCAGTCGTGAGTTCGATCCCTGGTACTGATAAAAACGAAAAAGACAAAAAAAGAAAAATAATATTGGCAAAGTAAATTGTTCAGTTGGCTAAATATAGGTGTACAAAGAAAATAATATTAAATAGGAACAATATTAGATTCCTAACTGTATCATTGGCTATCTGGGGACTTTCATTTTCCCCTCAGCTGGGGATTGAACTCTGTTGCATGTACTAGACAAGTGCTCTATGACTGAGCTACCTCCCCAGCCTTTCTGGGAACTTTTAAAATCTGCATTATGTCTGAAGACAGCATACTTGGCATGGTTTCACTTTTTCTCTTTTTTGTATTTCAGATAACAGGACCTATCACTTTCAGGCAGAAGATGAGCAGGATTACGTAGCGTAAGTAGTTTTGAAATAATGGAATAACATCTTAAGTTGAAAAGGCAGCCATGGCTCTTACTCCTGGTGCCTCTGTGCTTCTGTCCCACCTTTGGGCCTTCACGCTCTACTCCTTTCGTCTGAATGCTCTCCCCATGTGCTTACAAACTCAATGCTTCCTGCAAGACTCACCTTAGGCCTCATTGCTGCTGTCGTTATCGCTCCCTCCTCTCTGCCTGTGACCTTTCGTGCCCCTCTGTGTGCTTAGGTACACGTCCACAGCTTCCTGGAGGCTGGTCGTTTCTTGAGGACAAGGGCAGTTGTCTTACTCATCTTCTTATCATGTTACCGGCACGCTTGAGGCACTTCTCAGTGGTCAGTAGTCAAATGAGTGCGCCGGTCTGGCTGGCTGCTGGACTGTTCTTGTGATTGGAGTGGAAAGAACGGGGGGGGGGGGTGTCCCGTACTGCTAAGTGACAGTCCTGGGCTACCTTCCTTCCCGTGGCCTGCCTGGACCACAAACAGCAGTAGGTGACTTATATTCTCAGCAACTTGCATTGGTGTTGAATCCAATTTTCTGTGGACTCAAATTCTTATTTCTAACAACTGTGTGGGAACAAGTGTCATGAACTACAAAAGTTCCTGTCCCATCACAGACAAACAATTGTTATTTGACTTCCTTGTTTCTGCAGAGCCATGGAATTCTGTTCACACCCGTTTTGCCCTTCTCCTTTCCCATATGCTCACATACTTCCCTATAGATTGCACTCTCCTCATCTCAGAATGCAGTAATGGAGAACCCTTTAGAGCTTTCAGCCATAACACAACCCTCTGCGGTGCACCTGCCATGGGTTCACCACCACTGAATGCAGGGAATACACGTACAGCTGGGAGAAGTAGCAGAAAAAGAAAGAAAGCTAAGAGAGAAAGAGAGAGCCAGGTCTGCTTATCCACTCATCTATTTGATTATTTAATGAATGCCAGCCAGAAGCCAAGAACTGTGCAAGTCACTGAGACCACAGAATTAAATTAGACGGAGCTCCTGCCCTGGAGGAGACCACAGTGTGGCGCCGTGCACATGCTGAGTGCGGGAACGGAGGAGGCTGTGTGCTGGGTGCATGCCCTCCTCTGCTCCTGCTGTGGTGCTTCCAGAATTCCTAGAGGAGGGGAAGCCCGAGCTGACTCCAGGAGGTGTAGGGAGGTGGCAGGTCCTCTGCCCTCCAAGCACAAGGTCTCGACTGCAAGAGAAGCAACAGGATAGAATCAGAAGAAAGGGGCAGACAGGTGGCTTAATACCAAGGCACAGAGTTGGCAAACCAGAGAGCAACTTGGCACCAAATGAGAAAGGGCAGTTTTAGGTCTGCCCCTACCATCCACAGAATCTGGGAGCACCAATACTTCCTGGGATCATACTGTGTACTGTGTACCCTTCTGTTTTTATCCTCACGACTGTAAGCAAGTAGGGAGGGTATTTTATCCTTGAGTTTAAAAATGAAGAAACAGGCAAAGTGTGACCATGTTCATAGTCCTCAACCCAAACAGAATTCCAAGCCACTTTAGAATATTGCTTCCCTTTCTCTTTCCCTTACCCTGCTCAAAGCTCTAAGTAGATGGAGGGAGTTTTCGTGAGCCAGGAAAAACATCCACCTTGTCTTTGTTCCCCTCTGTCTCAAACCCAGGCCTTGACTGTCCTGTTTTCTCTTGGGACTTACAGGTAGTTTAGTCCTAAGTAAGTTTCCAAAGTAGGCCCAAGTCCCAGTTTTGTTAGAGGGACCAGTTTCCTGCCTATAGGACTTACCACTGTTGACAGTAAAAAGGTGGTGACTTAGTTACTGTTCACTCTCGCTGCTGAGACAAAATACCTGACCCCCAACATGAAAGAAGGAAAGTTTATTTCTTACAGGTTGGGGGTTTCAGCCCATACTCAGCTGGCTCTGAGGCAGGGTGACATGGTGGGGCTGCCAATTATGGCTGCCACAAACAGCAAGGCACTAACTGGCAAGAGAGAGAGATTCGCCTTCTTCCCGCCATTACGTCATATCCTGGCTCTACTCTTGGGCAGAGGAGACACTCACTTCACCAATCCAAGTGCTAGACAACAAACCAATCACAAACACTAGATTTGATTGCATCCATAATTGCGTGAGGCTTGGGGGCCACTGACATAAACCATGCCAGGTGGCTTGGTCGATCCTGAAATTTTTGCACATTGATTGACAGTGCTGATGCCGAGAGGGGTTTCATTTGGATGATGTGGAAGATGATGGCATAGTACACAAGGAAAGCACCTGCCCCAGAGGGAAGCTTTAGTACTGCATTCACATCAGTTTTTTTTAAAGGCAGTTTCTCTGCACTGTTGATTTGCTTTCCCTGTGAAGCTGTCCAGTGAAAATCGGGACATGGTGGCACATGGCTGTCATTCTAGCACTTGGGATGCTGAGGCAGGAGGATTGCTGGGAGTTCAAGGTCAGCCTGAACTTCTTAACAAAATCCTGTCTCAAAAAGAACAGGAAAGTATACAGTGAAATTAAATGAGAAAATGTCCTCCTCGCCAGGAGGGAGGTAGTTTAATGTCCAGCAGCTTGGCTGCTTGTCTAGGTTCTCTGAACAATGGTTTTTGCATTAGGCCAATCATCTGGCCTCATTTTTTTCATCCATATGCTGATATGGTTAGACAAGTTAATAGATGAGAATTTATCTCACTTGCAGACTTTTTGAGAATGAAGATAAAATGTGTGAAGCCTTCCTAGCACCATGGCAATTTATTATTTTGAAAGTCAGTGACTTTTAAAGTATTAAAATACAATTACACACTGCATTGCTTCTTACACTTTTTGGTATACCTGTTTTTTAAAAAGAATTTTAAAATGAGGCCATTCCATTCTAACAAATTGAAGTACTTTCTCTAGAAAATTATTTTTAAATATATACATTTTTTTCTTGATTATCACAGCAATCTCCTTTTGTAAAAAAAAATATGAGCTCCAGAATAAAGAGACAAATGTGGTGTGATGAAAGGAATTTTGAGAGGGGACCAAGAAACGAGGAATTTCCTCCCAGACTGACACAGTCCAGCTGTAGGACCTTGGGCAAGTCCATGTAACTTTCGTAGTTTCCATTTCCTCTTCTTGACAGTGCTTTAAACCCCCACCCAGAGACTGGGAGAATTCTGTTCCACAGTTGGAAGTGCTTGACATGCAGGAGGTACTGGTTCACATTAGGTAAGCAGATGTGAGAGCGCCTGCAAAGGCAGAATGGAGACCACAGCCACCAAGGCAGTCCAGTAACTGCCAGGGAAGTCACCCACAGTGCTTAGTCCCCTCGACAGTTACCTCAGTGTTTTTAACAAAAAGGTGTCTAATTTATAATTTGAGACTAAAGAATTAAAAAGTGCTATTTAATTTTAAATGCATCACATGCCCGCTCATCCCTAAATTGGTTCTCAAGGGTTTGGTTTTCAGCGTCCCAGTAGAGTTAAACTGAGTGCAGAGCGCCACCTAGAGTCCACGATGCAGCTTGTTGTGGCGTCTTCCCATCTGATTGTTTCACTATTGCTGCTGCTAATGCAGGACTTTTTGTAGATAGTATTTTACTTCATATCTGGTATACCAAATAAACAGGACTAACTCTAAATTTAATCTGTATTGTAGGTTGAGAGCAGGTATTAGCTGTCTGTGCAATAAATTTTTAAAAACTGTAAAGTTGGATTTTTTTCAATACAATTTCATTTCAGATTTGAGAAATCATAAACAAGCAATTCCCCAATGACTTTTTTCCTAAATAAAATTATGACAGCCAATATTAATATTTTGAGGAAATTCCTTCTAGCATTTTTCACAAACATGGATACCTAATTTATAAGTTCATGTGTTTAAATTTGAGATTGTCAGTTTTTTCCTGTTTCACAAGACTGTGAAGATTTCTCCAGCACCATTCAAGGAATATTGAACAGTTGCATTTTAGCGCTTGCTTAACCTTTGTGCTCTATCAGTCAGCACCCTGTTGTTAGGTTTTATGTTTGTAAATACCTAAACTGAGACCGAAGGATTTTGTGCAGCATACATGATGCTCTTACTGTATATATAATTGAATGCCCTGCCCTCTTAGCATTAGAAATGTTAAAGTGCTTCCATGTTAGTGTGCTTTTCTGTAAGTGTACATTTTTATCACTGCTAGTAAAATATTCCTTCGTTTTAACTTTCCAGTGTTCCCGCAAAACATGGACTTGTAAGAGCAGATGCCTGGTGCAGGCTCTGTGACTTGCGTGATCTCCCGCTGAGCCCTCTCATTCTCCTACCTGCTGTACTCTGCCCTCATGGAAACAGTACCACTGTATCCCTTCAAGTCCTCGGCTTCACTAGCTGCTGCTTCTAATCATTTCTCGTGTGTCACTTTCCATTTTCTAACTCTTTTAATTTTAATTTCCGTCCTTTTCCCTCACCTTACTACTATTTTGGGAGAGGGAATTCTCCTTTAGAAGTTCTGATGAAAATAGGCTTCTTGCAATGGGAGAGAAAACAGCAGCTATGTCCTTAGGAAAACGTCTTTCTCTGATATTTTGACGACAGGTGGATATCAGTGTTGACAAATAGCAAAGAAGAGGCCCTAACCATGGCCTTCCGGGGTGAGCAGAGCACTGGGGAAAACAGCTTGGAAGATCTGACGAAAGCCATCATTGAGGACGTCCAGCGGCTCCCCGGCAACGATGTCTGCTGTGACTGTGGCTCGTCAGGTAACTCACTAACTGTCTTCTTTCTGCCCGTGTGATAGACAGTGAGGTTTTTACATAAAGAGCCATACCTCTGAGGCACACTTGGACACCTCCCAGATGTCCCACCACCACTAAGCTGCTCTTCCCCTTATCTGGACATCTCCCACCTGATCGCCCAGTGGTCCTGTGCCACAGTTCTCCCTTTCCTATCAGATTCAGTGAAATAACCACACAGGCAGTAGGAGAGGCGAGCACAGAACGTGGTGTGCATGTTTAAATCGCAACTCTACCACTCAAAGTCATGAGTCCCTTTATTATCCTGAGCTGCAATGTGTGATCGCTAAAACAGGGTCCCACTATGAGGACTTAATGAAATGGTTGCAGGTGAAATCAGCTGACATATGATTGCTTCCTTCCTGCGCATGAGAACCCTCCCAAACTTCTAAACCATCCCAGCACCACCTTGCATGAACTTACATTTTCAGAGACTTTATACACTGCCAAGTTACTGGCAATAGCTAACATTTATTATTTCTACTATACTAAGGATTGTGCTTGGTGTTGTGTTTATGTTACCTTGTTGAATCCTCATCTGAGCTCTGTAAGGTACCCCCATGTTACAGTAAAGATACTGGGGCTCAGAGAATTGAAGTGATTTTCACAGGGTCACACATCTCGTAGGGGTTGGAAGAGGGATGCTGCGCTGGTGTTCTGAAGCACCATTATATACTTGCTCTTCTACTTGCAGACTGGACTGCAAAACACTGGTCCCCAAAGGCCCTAGAAAAGTCTTGGGTTTTCTAGTCTCTTCAGGTATGACTGAGAGTGATAGTGACTCAGGCAGTGTAAGGAAGTGGCAGAGGAGTCGTAAATATAGATATTCACCTATCAAAAAGAAGTAACACACACACACACACACACACACACACACACGGAAATGACACAGAGAGAACCCTAAAGGTTTTAGTGATGCAGAATTACAGTAGTTGTTTCCACCATTCTGGAGCCCTTTCAGATTAAAGCAAAAAGCCTGGGTCACTGAAAGAAACACTTTGTGACCAGCATTTACAGCCATCTTACTATTAAGAAGTACTTTTCAGGAAGCCGTCACCAAGACTGACGTGTTATACAGCTAGGTGTAATGCAAAGGTTTACGTTAGCTTTAGAATCCAGGCCCGTGTAAGTAGTCCCTAATGGGTCTTCACATCCTGCCAAAGATTGTTTTGCATCTTAACAAAGATAAAGAGCTTCATTTAAGTTTTGATTCAGTACTGAAGAAAAAGTTAATCATTTTCTTTACAACAACCTCTAAGATAAGCTATACGCCTGTATTTCTTCCATGTTACTCTTATTCATAATAATCTTCTGTAGGTAACACACTAAATTGAATATCTTGTTTGTTTCCTTTCCACAGAGCCCACGTGGCTTTCAACCAACCTCGGTATTCTGACCTGTATAGAATGTTCTGGCATCCATAGGGAAATGGGGGTTCATATTTCCCGCATTCAGTCTTTGGAACTAGACAAATTAGGAACTTCTGAACTCTTGGTAAGTCATGACCTGTACTTAAAAGGGAACTATAAGTTTGTTGTTAATATGTTTAGTATGTTACTTTGGGTTTTTTTGTTTCTGATAGGTGCAAGAAATTCTAATTTCTAAATTTTATAAATTTGCTTAAATATTTAAAATTTACCTTTTGTGATATACAATGGTTACTGTCAGCTCAGTGGACCTGCTCTTTTTGGATGGCCCTTCAAAGTGGCTTTTTTGTTTGAGAATTAGTTTTCATAGAATAGGATTCATTATAACAGTGATGAAAGTCATATATTCATATTACCTAGCAGCTTATGTTACTAAAAATGATGACTAAGTTTTTTTCTTTGTTTTAAAGTGCACTGTTAACTGTTGTCACAAAACCAGTTTCTCTTCCATCCAGAAATTCTTTATGTAGTGGTACTTAGCTTTCTAATAGCTTTGTAATACGAAAAAGGTATAAACACTTGCTTTTCTTAAGCATTGCCCTTCCCATCATGATTCATCCGAATCTGGAGCCCTCATGAAGTCCAAGCTAATTTGATTGCTTCAAAATACAAAAAACAAGGAACACAAGGCATCCTCAATAATGCCTTGTGATCATAAACCTGTTGTGCTCTTGAGAGAGTATTTGTACTAAAAGAGTAGAATTTTTAGGATAAAATAGAGATCTTCAGAGTCACCTTTGAGCAATACTACTAGTCTTGTCTGCAGAAAAGTCCCTCGAACTCATAGTGGTTACTTGTCTGCTCTTAGCCTTTTATCTCGGACATCCACTAAGCAGTGACGATGGGTTCTGTCTGGATGGCCCTCTTCATGTTGGAAGCCGGAAATAGTCATGCTGATTCTGAGCTCCCTGTTTCACTGCAGGATAGTGGAGGAAGGGCTCAGATCTGATACCTGAAATGCATTCTCCTTTAGCGCAGAAATGAACTCATTCTGTCTCCTTGATTTGTGTAACGAAACCATTTGACTCTGAGAAATAGGATCATCCAAACACTGAATGCTTACTGTGCAGTAAATCCATGGTTTTTCGTCTAATGACCTGGTTGCACAAATGTCTTTAAAAGTTCACTTTAATCTCAGAAGTATGAGACTGAAGCGAGGTATGCATGCCTCTAACCCCAGCCCTGGGAAGCTGATGTGCATCGTAATGAGGCCAGCCTCAGTTACACAGTGCATCCAAGTTCACAAGTAACCTGGGCTACACAGTGATGCCCTGTCTTTAAAAAGGAAAACAACAGGCCTGCTGATGCAGACCTATAAATATTGCCCATACACTGGGAGGCTCAGGCAAGAGAAAAACAAGTCCAAGCTCAGCCCGGGCAACTTAGTGACACTGTGTCACAGTATAAAAAAGGACTGGAAACGCAGTGCAATGCAGAGGCCCTGGGTTCAGCCCCCAGTACTGGGGGCGGGGGTTACAAGTAACCCAAAACCTTACAGGACAATCCTGGGTTCTCCTCTGTTGTTACTTGTAGCATCTTCATATCCTAAGTCTTAATGAACCCCACTTTCTTCACTACTATCTAGGAGTCCGTCTGGCCAGTATGAAAAGGAAATGTGCTAAGTTTGCTGCTGTTCACTGAGAGTTTAGCCTGGACTCTCAAATGGAACCTGTGTGGTGTCTCAGATCCTGGACTTTGGGGGGGGGCGGCAGACCCTGTTCTAATTTGCATTATCGCATATTTGTAGATGTCACAGGTTTTCTTGTCAATGACTTGGTCCCACTGGACTCTGAACATAGTTTGCTCCTTTCCATCACTTAACCAGACATGAGTGCCTGGCATGTAGAGGATGCTTAGTAAGTTCTTACTTATCAGATGGGTAGATGGTTTGTGTTCCGAGTCAAATGAAGGAAAATGGATATTTAAAAATTGCAAACGCAAATAATAGGAAACTAACGTGGTAAAGAGCTTACTATATTGTGTTTTGCTTGTGTTGCAGCTGGCCAAGAACGTAGGAAACAATAGTTTTAATGAAATTATGGAAGCAAATTTACCCAGCCCCTCACCCAAACCCACCCCTTCAAGTGATATGTAAGTATTTCTAATACCCTGAATTCTTCACCATTCTGTAACACTTTTTCTGTCCTGACAAAGCTTTTCTTAGTGGTTACAATATTTTTTCCAGTTATCAAGGAAAAGCAGAAAGACAAGTATTTTGACTGTATTTCTGGAATACACAGGTGGTTTTCACCACCACCCTTTCATGGAGGCAGCAGCTGAGTGCCTGCTCTGTGGAGTACAGATTTTCATGAGGGCAGTCGTATCTAAATCATGACCTGTTGTGATCGGAGACTTAAGAAGGACAAGAAAGGATTCTCATGATTGACAAAGATTCAAATGCTTAGCAACCCACGCAGCAAGTCTGGGAAGAAAAGACACATTCTACTATGTTGCCAGTAGGGCTACAAACTGGTACCTGATGGAAAACAAATCATCTGTGTTTACCAGAATGACAAATCTGCTTACCCGCTGACTCCTGAGAATTTATTCCTATTTTGTAACAGGAAAAGATCTGTAACAAAGTAAATGTCTACTTAACAGACATCTGAGTAACTTTTCTGTGGTACAGCCATGTAATAGAGCACTATGGAGATGTAGAAAGAGGGGCAGCATCTCATTTTTTATCTTAAAATGATCTGCAGTGTTACTGTTGGGAAAAAAAGGCGAGATGAAGAGCTCTGAACAAAATAAACTGGCTTTGGGGAAGGGAAGGTTGCTGGGGTGTAGGGAGAGTAAGTCCCCTGTTGTGATCTAGACAGCAGCGAAAGTCGGGAACTGCATTTTTGCTAAATGTATCAATAAATTCATTTTGAACTTTCCCTAATTACCACCTGAACTAAGAAATAAGGTAGACTCAAACAGCAGAAAATGCATTAGTATACTTCTTTCTTTGGACTTGTATTTGCTTAAATCACACAGGAAACTAATAAAAGTGTGTCCTCAGGTGTAGAGGAGTGGGCGTGAGATTTCCCAACAAGTACTGTTTGATAATCACTTTTATTTTTGAGCTATGTAAGTCTGTTACTCTGTTCAAAAACATTTCAACTGAATTTACAAGCAAAGTTTGAGGAGAGTGGTTCTGGCAAGACACTAGCTGCAGACCTCTGGAACTTAGCTCGCTGCACTGACAGGCTCCCTCCACCATCAGCCCTGCACCTCCCTCGGAGGGCTGACGTGTAACTCATTAATACAGCACTTGTTGAGCAACAAGTGGAAGGAATTTTTCAGCTGTACCCTTAACCCATGCATCAGTCTTTCTCTCTTCCTTCTGTTGTTGCTTTCTTGGAAAGTGGTAAGGCAAATACGATTACTAGCATTTTACAGATGAGAAAACTGTGGTACGGTGGAAACTTGACTTATCCAGGGTCACGCAGGTAACGAGACTTAAATCAAGCCTTTCAGTTCTCTATTTTTACTGAGCTACATTCTCAGCCCTTCTTATTTTATATCTTGAGACAGGATCGCACCAAGTAACCAAGTCCAGGTTGGACGAGGACTTGGCAGTCTTGCTATGGCCTCCCAGAGTGCTGTGATTACAGGCGTGGGCTTGCTACAGCCAGCAAACCATGTACCTCTTAAGCCTGATACTTCGTGTACAGCAGGGAGACCTAGAACCCAAAAACCTGTCACTCATGGGGCCATCTGGAAGTCCTCTAGCACATCAATTACGGGCATCCTGAATGGACTTGAGCTAAATGTGAAAGACACCGTGAGTGTAAGGTCTTGGTTGCTTGGCTGACTCAGCAAGTCACCTCACTCGGTTGAAAAATAAAGCTCAACCCTATGACTACCAGGGCAGAATGAATGAAGAATGCATCAGCATAGTTTCTAAAGTGTTGCCAGCTGTACAGTGTGAGAGACAATAGCAGTTAGCACAGGTGGAAAAGCTATTTCTTTGATCTCATTTAAAAATTTTATTAGAAGACCCAATGCCTTGACTCCCACTCATAATACTGCCCTCAAAGTGTATTTCTGAGCAAGAAATTTTACGTCCCTTGCATTAGAGCCCTCTGGGAAGAAAGGAAACATCTATTAGATGCTGTCTATTCTCCACTGAGTTGATTATTGATGTATGGAATGCTATTGATTTTTGTGTGTTAGTTTTATATTGTGCTATACCACTGAACTAGGTGTTTTTTGGTGGCTCTTCTGTGTAGAGAATCATGTGTTTTGCAAAAACCAATAATTTAACTTTTTCCTTTCCTCTACATATCCCTTTTAATTTTTTCTCTTGCCTGATTGCTCTGGCTAGTATTTCAAGGACTGAGTTGAACAGGAGTCATGATAGTGAAATCCTTATCTTGTTCTTGATTTTAGAAGGAAAACTTTCAGCTTTGCCACCATGTAATATGATGTTGACTGTCAGTTTGTCATAAATGACTTATCAGATTGAGATAAGGTTGAATGGATGTTGAATTTTTCAGAGGCTTTTTCTCTGTCAGTTGTGATGATTGTGTGATTTTTGTTTTGTGTGATATAGTACATTTTTCCCATCTCTATTATAATATCACCTAAAACCTCATTTGTTTGAAAGAAGCATATCTTAAATAAAATAATTTCTCAAAGAAACATACTTGTCAGAAAAATTTAAACCTTAACTCCTAGTAAAAAAAAATTTTTTTGGGGGGGGCGGCTTTTTGAGACAGGGTCTCGCTATACTGTTCAGGCAGGCCTTGAGCTCACTTTGTAGCCTAGGCTGGTCTTGAACTCGCAACCATCCTCCTGGTGGGATTACAGGCACACAGCATCACACTTGGTTTTTAGTAAAAATTCTTTGTCATTTTGTTTTATTCTATTTTAGGACTGTACGAAAAGAGTATATCACTGCAAAGTATGTAGACCATAGATTCTCAAGGAAAACCTGTTCCACTTCATCAGCTAAGTTGAATGAATTGCTTGAGGCCATCAAATCTAGGGATTTACTTGCACTAATCCAAGTCTATGCAGAAGGAGTAGAGCTAATGGAACCTCTGCTGGAATCTGGACAGGTGAGGCCTCACTAAAGCCATAGGATTAGAAGTAAGAAATCAGTTGAAATGATTACTTATGTTATCTTAATACAGTATAATGAGATTCATATACATTGATTGGTTGAGCCTGTGTAAACAAGAGAATTTGAGAAAGAGGGGACTCTTAGTTACTTGGAGAGCTGATGCTTTCGAGAGGCAAACAGGCACGTGATTACCACATTTAGACTTTCCTTTCCGCCTTAGGAACTTGGGGAGACAGCCCTTCATCTTGCCGTCCGAACTGGAGATCAGACATCTCTCCACTTGGTTGACTTCCTTGTACAAAACTGGTACGGTTTTGGTTTTCTCTGTTGAATTAATCGAACTTAATTTTGAAGTTAGCACAAAGCAGTGCTATGATTAGCCTAGATCAAGACTCAGCAAGCTTCTTCCGTAACAAGTCCGATGATGATAATACTTTTAAGCCTTGCAGACGCTGACATCTCTGGTGCATCTATTCACCTCCATCACTGTGGTGTGAAAGCAGCCACATGTCATATGAATGAACACGATGTGTTCCAATAAAATTGTATTTCCACAAAGCAGGGCGGACTAGCTACGCTGACAGGCTGCAGTTTGCCACTGCCTGGCCTCAATAGGTGTGAAATCCGTCTCTGCCCAAAAACCCGCTGCGCTAAGGAAGGTTAAGGTTAGGATTGATCACCACTGGTCAGCCAATTTGTAAAATTTTCATTGTTCCTAAGTTCGGCTGGATCAGCAACTAATTCATGTTAGGGACATACTGATGGGAATATAATACTGAATGTGGGAAAGATTTGTGCTTGCTGAATTCTTCGTTGGGTTACTCTGTAAGCAGCAGGCTATGAAGAGGAGCTGGAGCTGTCCACAGAAGAGTGATAAAGTAGAGAGGGGATCTGAATCCACACAGTGAGTGGTGCCTGGACACAAGCCAGATTGTCTAGGATGCAGGCCTTTTCCTTAGGGATGATCTTCCCCTCCATTATCCCTGTATCAGTGTACCTCTCTGTGCCTTGGTTTCACTTGTGAAATTACTACATGGAAATTCCCAGGAATAATTAGTAATTTTTAAATAATTTCATCACAGTATGCTGTTAAAATTATTGTTTTATTATTGTTGTTACTCCATTTTAGTGCCCAATTTATAAATTAAACTTTATCCTTTAATATAGGAAAAATTGTATAAGATCTAGTACTGTTTGTGGTTTCAAACATCTGCAGAAGGTGGTTAGAACATATACCTTGTGAATGAGGCAGGACCTGTTGTGTGTATAGTTTTGATTTGTTAACTCGTTTTTCTGATCATTTTTTTCAGTGGGAACCTGGATAAGCAGACCTCAATGGGAAACACAGTTCTGCACTACTGTAGCATGTACGGCAAGCCTGAGTGTCTAAAGCTGCTTCTCAGGAGCAAGCCCACTGTGGACATCGGTGAGCCCATCACTGAGGTCTCTCAAAACCATCTCGGAACATTTCTTGAGTCAAACTCATAGCTGCACGTTACATTTGATTATTGGTCTCTGTCTTTGTAAGATCTAGCCTAGATTAACAATAGAAATGTATTTGCCCTCTATTTTAGTGAACCAAGCTGGAGAAACTGCCTTGGACATAGCAAAGAGACTAAAAGCTACCCAGTGCGAAGACCTGGTAAGCAAAATCGGAAGGGGAGGTTTGTTAGGTTGCCTTAAAAATGTCATTTTGAGAAGCTGGAACTGGAAATAAAAGAAGCAGACTCATGTTTTTAAACATTTCCTAAAGAAATGTACTCAACACCAAGCTGTATTTGAAGAATGGTAAAACAGCAAGTCTGCCATCCACATTCCTTTTAAGCCTAGTTAAGACCTGGGTGCTGAAAGGCACCTGAGAGGTGGTGGTGTGGCCCTGTGGGATTATGGACTGAGGTCATGTTTTCAATTTGCCAGACCATTAGGCTTGCTCTGCAGCTAACAGGAAAGAATTGAGAAGTCACTTCTAAAAATTAGGAAAGTGAAGCTCAGAGTGTAATAGTTTTCAAAATGTTAGAATAGAAAAGGATGTTTAACATTTTGAAAACTATTATTCTTTATTCTTTCATGTACTTTCACCATTTTTTACTTCACTGGCTCTTTGTTAATAATCTGAACCTTCACATTAGCATGATTCTCCTAAACATAGTATCTCAGTCTGTTGATAAGAGTACCACCCCATGGTGAATTGTAAAGGAAAAGTGTTTACTTTGGCTCACACGTCTGGTTCGAGGTTTCCTTACTGGCATGGGGCTCGTGCCATGAGAGACAGGGAGCGCGCCTGTGTGCTCTGGCCTCTTTCCCGCTTCTCTGCAGCCCCCAGTATCCAGTGGTGGAGGCTCCACCCATGACCTTGTCTATCCATGACCTTCTCACTTCCCAAGGCATCCCCTCTAAGCACCATAATCAGATTAAGGTCCCACTCACTTAATCCTTCACAGTGGGTATCAAATTTTAACTTGACTTTCAGAGGGGACAAACTCCTATGAAACCATAGCACATGGGAAAGGAAGAAACAGCAGGGAGAAAGTTACGTTCCCTCAAGTGTCTCTGAGTGCCAGATTCCAGGACTGGCAGTTACATTTCTCTTCTTAAAGGAATCCTCTGAGAGCCAGGCATGGCAGCACACACTTGTCAACACAGCACTCAAGAGGCTGGAGCAGGAGGAGCGTGAGTTTGAGGCCAGCCTGAACTCCATCAGGAGTACAAAACCAGCCTGGACTGACTAGGGAGATCCTATCTCAAAACATAAGAACCCTTTGAGACAAGTTTTTCCTGTCTGCATTTTATAGATAAGAAAAGGACTAGGACAGTGGTGGTGAACCTATGGGGTACATGCCAGTGTTTTTATCACTGAAAGCTCTGGAAGATTTATCATCATAGCTAGGCCCTGCCTCTGAAGATCCTACCTCTGAAACATGACAGACTCTGAATTTGTTTTCCAGTCAGGAATTTGCCGGTCTGAGACTCTTTTTGGCTTTGATGTTTTGGAGTGTGGATTGGGTTTGCTTGTTTTTTGAAACAGAGTCTCTGGTGTGTAGTCCATGCTGGCCTTGAATTCACCGTAGCACAGGTTAATGTCAAACTCACAGTGATCTCCTGCCTCAGCCTCCCAAATGCTAGAATTACAGACAGGCACCACCGTGCTCAGCCTGAGACTCATCTTAGTGTCAAGAAAGCTTTTTATTTTAAAGAAAGGTGAAGGTATCAAAGTAAGAAAGACCGTGCCTGCAATGCTTTGCAGTCCCTTGGACCTGTTGTCTAGCAGTCTAGCTTGTCTTACCAGAGCTGCCTCCATAGTGCAGCTGCTAGTGATTGGTTTGAACCAGGTAAATGTAAAGTGAGTTTGCTCAACGTTTATATAATACTGAGCTGTTTAAAATGTTATGCACTTGCTGTAACTTCTAGCTTTCCCAAGCCAAAGCTGGCAAGTTCAACCCACACGTCCACGTTGAATATGAGTGGAACCTTCGACAGGAGGAAATGGATGAAAGTGATGATGATCTAGATGACAAAGTAAGTGCAAAGGGTGCCCCGAGTTCCCCTACCCACTGCCAGGCTCTGCACTGTGTTGGGCACCATTTCCCATGAGGTGGATCAATCTTAGTCCTGATGTACCAGGACCCTTTTTTGATGCTTAACGCCAGTCACTATTGGACCGCTCTTAACAGCTATATTAGTCAGTATTCTCCAAAGATACAAAGCAAATAATGTAGAAAGAGATGGGAAGATGTATTTTAAGGCATTGGCCCACCCTACTGTGAGCAGTGCAAGTCCCAGCAAGAGACAATGCAGAATTGATGCTAAAGGCAGTCGGGAAGCAGAACCCTTTGCTCTTCTCCCTTGAGCCTCCAGCTCACTGGATAAGCCCACTCACATGGAGAGCACTACAGAACTAGTTACATTGTAGTGCTTAGTCACATTGTAGGGGGTGTGTTGGTCCAGGGTTCTAGTAGACCACTTGTCTAGCACATGCAAGGCCCTCCCCGCACCCCCACCCCACTGCCAAAACAACTGTTGCACATTCGCCTTTGGTATTTGACCAAACACTGGGACACCATAACCTGCTCTGCTGGCATATAAATTAACTTGCAAAGTAGCAATTAATAAACACTAAAGAGTGTTTTTATGGAGTATTTGAATATGGACAAGGCTGTGTTAAGCACCTATGTTATTTCAGTCCATGTTTACTATGTGTGCATAAAGGATTTTGATATTGTCTCCATTTTATAGAAGAGAAAATTTAAAGGATTTAGTAAACTGTAAATTCACACAGCTAGTAAAGACAGTCTCATAGGTTAAACCTACTTTTCTGGCACTCTTTCAGAGGGAATTCTTAACTTCCTCTGAGAGTTCATTCATGTGTTTATCATCAGGTGTGTACTAGACATTCCCTTGAATGCCATGCAGATATATGGGATGTTCAAAAAGGTTCTCAAGCCCTTCACCTCTTCACGGGAAGATGAATTATAGAACAGTATGCTAACAATGATACTGAGCCTGAGGAAACTCCTGAGAAGTATTCAGCGGGCCGAGCAGCTCCTGAACCTTGGCAAGCAGTGCAGTTAAGATGAAGGGAGTGGCCCTGGAGCTCCTCGGAGTGTAGATGAGCATTTGCAAAGGCAGAGCTGGATAGAAAGGAGTCATTTTTCCCAGGGGACACAGCAGGAGCCAAGCAGGGAGTCAGGATAGAGTCTGGATGTCCGAAGAGTACCCTCCGTGCAGCACATCCTCCTGATGGTGCCCTGCTGAGGCAGACAGGCCAGATCAGGAAAGGCTCTGTGAGGCAAGCCTGGCCTTTTGTCTTTCATCCAAACAAGCAGCCAGAAACCAACTCAGGCTTAGTATCAGAAGAGCAAGGTTTCTGACTCTAGCCAGGGAGGCAGGGCAGCAGTGGGAAGAGTGAACACCCACCAGCAGTGGGTCAGGGCTGTTTCCAAAGTGTCCATGCAGTGCCTGGGGTTTCAGTTGACTTGAGATCTTTTGACTTGGGCAGCTGAGTGAATATTACTTCTGTCACTGCATATGGAACACCAGACACTACACAGGCAGCTGCAAATGCTTGGGAATTGAAAGGGTCTGGTGGGACTCACAGATCTGTGAGTCGTCAGCATCTAGGTGGCCCCTCAAAGCCATGGTACGTACAAGTAAGCTGCCTTTCCAGAAGGGTGTAAATTGTCAAGAGTGATGAAGACTGGGAACTTCACTGTTGAAGGATTGACAGAGAAAGGAACTTCATGTCGCATATTACTGATAGATGGGAATGCTGCCGGGATGTTGTTGAGCAGTGTCGTACATGGGAAAGATATCTGTTAGTGAAAGGGTAAATCTGACTGTAGCCTTACACTGCACTTCTCTGAGTGCACCAAAGATCCCTAGCCAGTACTGACTAGTTGATTGATGGGATGTGGAAGCAGCAGAATGATGTCTTTCCTTGCATTATGTCATCGACATGGTGCTTGCGATGGCTGACCTTGGGCAGCGCAGAGAGCTGCGGGGATCTAGCTGACCACCTGAAGCTATTCTACAGAGGTCCTTTGTACACCTCAGGGTTGGTCCCCAGTTACCATCTCACCCACTGTTGTTTCATCTGCCAGCCAAGCCCAGTCAAGAAAGAGCGCTCACCCAGACCTCAGAGCTTCTGCCACTCCTCCAGCGTCTCTCCCCAGGACAAGCTGGCACTGCCGGGATTCAGCACTCCGCGGGACAAGCAGCGGCTCTCCTATGGAGCCTTCACCAACCAGATGTTTGTCTCCACAAGCACAGACTCGCCCACGTCACCAACTGCAGAGGCACCCCCTCTGCCTCCTAGGAATGCTGGGAAAGGTATGGGCTTGGGAAGGGCTTTGCCCACCCCATCTTCAGAGCTAATAGCCCACCCAGCTTTGGGCTGAGAGCCGCAGGTATGTTTGAATGGCAGAGTGTAGACTGTATTGTTACGCACAGTATGGAATAGGGGCCTTGTTGCTTCCAGGATGCCCGCAGCGAGACAGGCAGTGTTGCTGGGCACACCTCACACATTAGCTGGTGCTAGCCTCACCGTAGTCCATGCACTTTTATGTCCATTTTACAAAAGAGGGAGCTAAGGCTCAAAGAAGTGGAAAAATTTTCCCAAGATCACACAGCTATTAAATGGTAGAAGAGAGCTACAGTCTTCAGATCTACATGGCTTCAAAATCTGTACTGTTTGTAACTTAGGCCCTCGTCCTGTATGCTATCTGGACAGTTAGTATGTTCTTACCTGAATAGGGACAAGATAAGGCCCACCCAGGGGGTCGTTGGAGAGAGTCCCTGAGCTACAACTTCAAGTGTGGCCTTTGCCAGTAAATCAAAATGCAGGGTCCTCCCTGTGCGCACAGTCCCAGCTAGCACAGGTCTCGAGGGCCTCTCGGTGTACAATGCCATGCCTATTTGAATTACACTGGGGCTATTTTCTGAGGAATGTGAGCTTTATTCAAAGCAGTGTTTTTTCAGAGCTTATTCTTCATTGAAATCATGTTATAAATGGAGCTGTGTTCTTACACCCCAAATGGCCTCATGCATCATAAAATAATGGGAGAAAGTTAAACTAAGGCTTTGGCCTGAGCAGTTCACATCAGAGTTACCAGTGGCCCTGACAGTAACAACACAGGTCGCTGAGGATGTACCCTACCACTGTTTCTCACCAGTCTGTGCATCACATTAGAACCTACTTTTTAAAGTCATGAACACATCACACAGCGAGTCTAGAATGTTAAGTGCTATGCTGTTGTTTACCCCAGGAAGTCATAGTCTCCCTCAGTAGAAGCAGGGGTGCTCTTTGTGCACCCTGAGGAGGACTGTGGAAAGCCCTTGGGCCAGATAAAGTCAGGGAAGAGGGGACTCAAAGATTTCATTTCTCCTTATCGTGGTGACTGATGTGATACAATGACCTGTCTAGACAAAATACCTCTCTGTGTTCGGAGAGCTTCCAGGTCATCAAGACTCTGCTGCATGGGCTACAGGAGAAATTGGCCTCAGTCCTGGGGACTAACACACACTTCCTTACACCCCCTTCTGTAATTTTATCTCAGGGCACACAGAAACCCATAAGATGCACTTTTGGGCTGGGTGCCAAGCATATCTCTGCTGCCTTGAATAAATTCTAACTAGCTCTTTACCAAAGACCCAGAAAACAAAGACTAAATTTATTTAGTGATTCAGCTGCAGAAACAGAGCTAAAGACTTGGCCATAGCAACTGTGATCAACTAAGGACGGACTGTTTATCCTTCCCCTTGGGAAGAAAGCCCAAATTGAAAAAAGAAATCCCTTCCTACTACGCTCAGCCATGATAGCAGGGCATCAGATTCGGAGATTTTTTCTGTCTGCTGGTAAGACGTGAGGGTGCAGCCTTCTCAGGGCTCCTGTAAGGGACATGGCACCTGACTCAAGTGTCACTGCATTTAGAAAACTGGTCATGTTCAGAGTGGAGCCACTGGAAAGCATGGCTGAAGGTCAGCTGATACTCAGGCAGAGACAGTTGTGCTCTGTGGTCCCTGTGTTTATTCCTTTGTTGTGCACATGGAACCATTTGCCTGAGAATTATTTCTCAGTGGCTGGAAAGCCAAGCTGTGGTCTCTTTGCAGCAGGAGTCATATACACAACTGTGAATTTAGGGTCTGAAAGATGCTGTTTCCTGTGAGGCATAAACAGATGCTTGTGACAGAGTCCCCACAAATAAGAGGCGTACAGAAGGGTACTAGCAAGGATTCTTCTAATCCAGATTAGGAATATGTCCAAGAAACTCAGCAGCTGCATCAGCATTCAGGACATTTTACCACAAAGCAAAGCCCCCTATGGCTGAGCAAAGCTCCAGTCTCAGAACTCTGCAGTTGAGAATTCCATGTTCTCCCTGCTTAGCCTCGGTAGGAATGCTGTGCTGCTGACCCTCTGCAGAGTGAGGGCCACAGAGAGTGAGCAATGTGAGGCTAGATGTGCTTCAGGCTTGTCGAGATGTATTTGTCTTTAATTGATAAGTTAAAATAGCATCATAGAACTTAGATTTTTTTTAGCACTAAATAGAATGCTGAAAGATGAACACAGTCTGCACCCTATGATGCAGATAAGGAAACTGAGGCCTGGCAGGGTTAAGGAATTTACTTCAGGTCACATGGTGCTGGAGCCGTATAGAAAATTAACATGGGCCTCACAGCCTGTCACACCAGCTCTTGTGGTTCCTTCTTTCCTGTAAGGAAGAAGGTACAGCTTTCTCTGACCTGCCTTGTGGGGCTTAAGAGAGCCTGGATGTGGGGGAACCCCTGCACTATCTAAGGGACTCCAGTGATTGTCGGTACTTCTAGAGCATGGAAGCCGGTGAGGGATACAATATCACACTGTAGTACTCATCCCATAAAACGGGCACTTACAGACACACATTGCTTGTTTTTGTGTGGTTGATTTGTTTGATTTAACTGTGCTTTTAAATAATTTAAAGCTGTAAAATAGTGACTCTCTTCTATTGTTCAACATCATACTTTTTGTGTAACAATGACAAAAACTTGCACCTGATATGACCACTGTCTCAGGAAATCGTTGCGGAGGTTGAATGAGGAGTGCAGGAAACATTCAGCTCAGCCCCTGGCACTGAGTACCCGGCCAGGGATGCCACTGCAGGCTTCAGTGCCTCTGCACATCTCATCTTGACAAAGGGAGTCCTTCAGTGGGTGGGCACTGCAGTGATGTCACCCAGGCCTGCTGAATTAAGAGGAGTCCCAAATAGTGAGGCTTGGCAATGCATAGACCCCTTAACTCAAAGGATCTGTTAAGTAAATGAATGATAAATTTGATTCAAAAGAAGTAATTTACCTTAAAGACTAACTTTCACCAAATGTGAAGGTGCATGCCTTCCCAGCAATTGGGAGGCTGAATAATCCCAGCAATTGGGAGGCTGAAGCAGGAGGATTGCCATGAGTTTGAGGCCAGCCTGGGCTACATAAGGGAATTAAGACAAGCCTGCATTACAGAGCAACACCCTGTCTCAAAAAAAGGGAGGGGGGGGCTTGGGATTTGGCTCAGTGGCATAAGCACCTGCTTGGCAAGCTCAAGATCGTGAGTTCAATCCCAGGTACCAAAAAAATAAAAAGAAAGGGGGACACACTCCAAAAAAATAAAAAGGAAGGGGGACACACTCCAAAAAGGAGTGGCACACTCCTATAATCTCAATACTTGGAAAGCTGAGGCAGGAGAATTATTTGCAAGTTTGAGACCAGCCTGGGCCACAAAGTGAGCCCAAAGCCAGCCTGAACAGCATAGCAAGACTCTGTCTCAAATAAACAAAAAAAAGGGCCAAGGATTTAGCTCAGTAGCATAAGTACCAGTCTGGCAAGCGTAAGGTCAAAAATTCAATCTCCAGTACCAAAAACGACAAAACCAAGGTGAAGAGGAGTACCTAACTTTGCAAACTTTTAGGTCCTGGACCAACTGGCATGTTCATTGTAGTTCATGACATGAGACCCTAAAATCAGGCCTGTGCAACCCTTTGCACAACATACAAATACTTGTGAGCATTAACCCTGTGTTTAATACACATCTGCTGTAGTACAGAGACCTGCCTCAGATAGGCGTTAGCCTTAGTTTGGTAAACCTGGATGGCCTGCACGAAAACAGGACAGTGCCCCGCACATGGAGGGCCCCGGTCTACGCTGTTGATAAAGACTCGCTGCCGTGGAGTGTCAGCCTGATGTAGCCCTAGCTATGGGTTAGGTGAAGAGCCTGCCCTCATTCGTCAGAGGATGTAGTGTGAGAGAGATAGTGTGTAAGAGCTCATCTCTGTCGGGACACATGTCAGCTACCCGAGCAGTTGTGAAGTCCTAGCCGCCTTCCAACTTCTTTTCTCTCCAAGAGCCACCTTTCCCTCACCTCACAAAGACACAGTGCTTCCTTCTCCCACAAGCACCAGTTCTGCACTCACACCTGCTCCTCCTGACAGCTGGAGGCTGTCGCAGGGTGTTGGCCTGAGAAGTCGACACTGGGGATCTACTTTGTTGGTTCCCTGCTTAGAGCACTTGGAATGAAGTTTATGGAGTAGTGAACACAGAGCAAAGCATTCATCAGCTGGGGTTTGCTAATCCCACTGCATGCTTCAGGCCAACGAATATCCCAGGAGTGGGAACAGAGATAGAGAAGTGCTCCTGCTGTCAGGGAGCCAGCGCCGGCGAGGAAATAGTGAAACAGCCCCAGGACTGTTCAGCGGTGCTGCTGGAGGAGCAGAGAGAGGCGCGGCTCCCAGTTCTGCAGAGAGGGCCAAGGCAGTCTTCGTTGTCACCTCTGGTATTAGCACTCTTTGAGGGCAGGCTGGTAAGGAGCCGTCTCCGAATGTGGAGAATACGGGCTGTTCAGGGTCAATGTTTGTTGAATGCATAAACACCGACAGAAAAAATCATGAGAGTGTGTCCTAGAAAGAGGTGGTCAGAGTAGGAAGGGGCATGCATAAAAGTACACCTGGTGTCCTGGGGGTGCGCAGTTGGTGTGCTAACACCTCTGTGTGAAATGTTTGTCAGTGTTGTGCCCAAACACAACTGTGTAAGCATTTGATAGAGCCTTTCTGAGCATCCCCTGGGGCCTGTAGCAGGAGTTGCAGAGGCTAGGAGTGAATGGAGAAGGGGAACATGTCCCAGCTTATTGCAGTGACCTGCCATTAGGAAAGCGTGCTACTGGGTGATTCACACTTGGGAGATATTTTCCTATCTGCACTTATTACTCATATATTGATGATTTTACAGTTTCCAGGTGTTTTTAATCTCAGGCAAAGACAACAGTCTGACTGCTTTGAGTCCATAGCTTGCGAACTGTTGTCTGTGCTTCATACTAGATTTGTGTTTGGGGTTTTCTGGTTCATTTTGGCCTTCTTCAGTTCCTCCCAATCCTTTTTAATATAACACAAGACTCACAAATGTTGACTGAGAGCATTGTCTGTAGTTTTTGTCCTGAACTCTGGCCACTGAGGGTCTCTGAGTAACTTGTGGAAAGGGAAACAGAGGAAATCCTGGTTGCACTTCTGTGTTTAGGAATGTAGGAGTAACTGTTAAGGAACCGGCCCTAAACCCCTGAATCCAATACTTTTCTCTCAATTATCTGTGTTAACAGAAAGAGATCAAAGGACAGATGAACAGCCAGTGTTGTTTTCAGAGTGAGCAGACAGAGCAGCGTCCTGCGTGGGCAGCAGCCTGCTGCACTGGTATCCTGGCCAGCTCTGCTGCTGACTTAGCCGCTGCACCTCTCTGGGCCTGTTTCCCCTGTGAACATGGAGATAGCAGCTCCATCCTTCTACAGAGTCTTGTATTTTTATCTACTTTTGAAATATTTAATATAAACTTTCTCCTTCAAGCTCTATGCTGTAAAAATCATGGTCAGTTAGACAGGAATCAATTTGCACAGTGTGTTAACTCCCATTAATGATAGTGTATTCCGCAAAATTCCTGAGTATGGACTTCAGGTGTTTTCACCACAAATAAATCAGTGTGAGGCCGTGCATGTTAGTTAGCTCAATTTAGTCATTCCACAATATACACATATTTCAGAGCGTGTCACTTGCAGTAAACTTATGAATTTTAAGTAAAGCATTACAACATGATGACAAAATGCTCATTCATGTTGTCCATTCCTTCCATAGATAAAACTTGTCCCTCTAAATGTCATGTTAGAATATGTAAGTTATACTTCTACAGACAAGATTTTAAAAGCTATCAGGTTAATTTTTCAAGGCGTCTTGTAGTTGCTGGCTTTTTCTTAGAAATTTCAAAGATGTACTTTTTTTGGGCTCCCCGATGGAAGGACCTCTGTGTTATTGTCCGTACTGAAAACCAGATACACAGATCAACTGGGAAAGCACCCTACGGACCTCCACTGAGAGCTATCTCTGTAGACACTCGTCGAGTGTTGGGGGTGTGCGGGTGATGGCACTGGAAGAGGGAAAAAGTTCAGATCTTTTCTCTGTGGAGGCGCATAGTCTGGGAGGGGAGAGAAGCAGCAGTTACAAAACGAAGGTATTCAGTACCTTTTAAGTTTGTGGAGATTCAGCGGTAGAAGCAATCTCTCCAGGGAAAGGGTGGATGAGGGAAGCATTTGGGTGTGTTCCCATCTGAGCTGACCACTGAAAGATGAGGGTGAACTCGGTCCTGTCTGAGTTTTCTCACCAGAGAGAAGGCAATGCCCTACAGAGGAGGAGAAGCAGGCTGTTACCAAGGCCGAGTGCGCAGCCATAGGAGAGCAAGGCTCAGCCTAAAGCAGCCTCTCACCTCTGAGGAGCCAGAAGTATTGATGGATGGGGTGAAAGCCTCACCAGACCCAGATCCTCAGTCTGTCCCTTCTGTCTGTGTGACTTGATCATGCCAACCTCTCTATTTTCTTGGCTACAATGTTAGAACAGGACTGGAGCCATGTACCTCACAGGATTGTTAGTGAAAATCAAAAGAAATAGCATACAAACACATTTTGAAAACTACAAAGGTTATACATATTCAAGGCTATCATAGTCACCTTATTTTTGCTAACATAAAATAGTTTCTGAAACTGCAGTAATTGATACCATGACTAGGTATTGATTTAGGAGGCAAAATAAATCATGTGGCTATAACCATTTAATACTAATACAGACTTCATTTGACTGATATTAGTGATATTTACTGACTAGATGATCTTTGAGAGTTAATGATTTAAGTCAGTGTTGATACTGACTGGTGATTGATGTTAGGAAATACTTTTTACTCAAAGAGGCTAGCAGTAATTAACCTTTTCTGTGTTTTGTTTTGTTTTTGGTTTGGTTATAGGTTTTTTTTTTTCTTTTTGGTTGTTCATTTGTTTTTTGTTTGAGACAGGGTCTTGCTGTGTAGTTCAGGCTAGCTTTAAACTCACTGTGTAGCCCAAGCTGGCCTTGAACTTGCAGTGATCCTCCAGCCTCAGCCGTCCAAGAGTTGGGTTTACGAGTGTGTGCACCAATATCCACCATGCTTTTCTTTTAATGCACAAAGTATATAAAGATCTTTTGGAACCTTCCTGGATCACCAGCTATCTACTCTCCTGTGTTAAACGTTTGACGTAGCGGTGTTCTTAGTTTCCTTTTTTATTTTTCTAAATGTTTGCAGAAGCAGTTGTTCATGGACATGGGTAAACTGTACAGCTGGTAATCTTCCATAAGGAAATATTTGTCCAAGTGCCCACCATGTATTGCCTGACACATTCCAGCCACTTTGTTCTCACTTTATGAAAACTCAGTCAACGTTACTCCCAAAGGGCTTTTAAAGTCCACTGCATTCACTGTCATTCAGGCTTCCAATATAATTGGTGGTTTGTGATTTCCAGAACTTTTCAGAAGCCGAGGAAACATGAGGTTTTACGTTTCTCCCCTTCTCCCCCACCAGGTAACTTTAGGTCTTTTATTGCTTAGAAACATATTAAGAAGAAACTTGAGCATGCTGACTAAAAGAAAAAAGCATAGTGAAGAGGAAAAATCCCGTTACAGGAATTCATTACTACTTCAACTTTTGGACCTTGCAGTTTGGGTTATATTGTACTACGCTTCTTTCCTGCTGACTTTGCTGGTAGCCTTGTGTGCCCTCTTCCTGAGTAAATTCTAGGATGATTCCAGTGTATCGTCAAGAGTCAAGTGTGTGTGTTGTTTTCCCATTGCCCCCTAGATGATGACCTGCACCCACCCACGTTCTGTGTTGACTGGCATTTTGCTCCTTAAGAGCACATACCCTCCTTTCCTGTGTTGTAATTTTCCCCCTTTTCAACCAGCAGTTTTTTTTAAACCCTATTCGTGAATGTTGGGCTGGTAGATTTGCCACATCCAGCTATGTCTTTCTGTCTCTGTGTGTCCAGCTACATTTTGCTGTGCAGAAGTGATTGCATACTAGCTGCTCTGTGTCTGTGAGACTGGGATTAACCTGCCTGCCCCATTCAATTTCCTTTCCAGGTCCAACTGGCCCACCTTCAACACTCCCTCTAAGCACACAGACCTCTAGTGGCAGCTCCACCCTATCCAAGAAGAGGCCTCCTCCCCCACCACCCGGACACAAGAGAACCCTGTCCGACCCTCCCAGCCCACTACCTCACGGGCCCCCAAACAAAGGCGCAGTTCCTTGGGGTAAGTTAACCTGAAGTCAGGGCCAAAGCTGCCCAGGCTCAGGCTGTGCGTGGGGCTCCACTGATAAATGGACAGTTAGAAGAAGTGGACCAGACTGCACACATCCTGGGAGAGGACCTGGACGTGAATTGGTGTGATTGCGCCTGCCTCTGGAGGCTAAGAAACATCTTGAAAAGTGTATAGGGCCATTAAAAACTATTACAGTAAGAAAGGTAATTGCCCTCAGTATCATCAGGGGAGTGATTCCGAAGTCTCCAAAGGGAACTAAAGTCTGCAGGCACTCGTGTTTCTTACATAAAATGATGTAAAATGGCATTGTATTTGCATAAGTATATTAGATTCACATGTGTCCAACCCATGGCCCATCTTTTGTTGTTGTTGTTGTTTTTCTTATTTGAGTTACAAGGAATTGTCTAGGACTGCTTATAAAATACATAATAATAGGTAATGTATAAGTAACAAAATCTCCTTTCATACTTTTTATCATTTTAAAAAGATAGGCCACAGATTGGACACACTACTCACCCAATACAGTGTAAATGTTACATTAAAGTCTGCACATGTTCTGTGCAGTTTTTTCCTGAATATTTTTGACCCAGAGTTGTTTGAGTCCACAGGCCTGGCTGACCATAGCAGCAGTAAGGTGCTGAGCACATCCTACCCCTCAGGCTGTTACAGTGGCAGCTCTTTGAGGCAGGATTAATCTCACTGAAGAGGGCACAAAAGCTCAGAAGAGCTAAGTAATCCATCCTTTCCCAGTACAGAACGATTTTCTTATAAAATACACATAAGGCCATGGTCACACTTCCCTTAACACCCTCAGAGATTTCCTGCTGAGCATCAGCTGACGCCAGGTCCGTGCACAGGGCCACGAGGGCCTCCGGTGGAAGTCGTCACCGCTCCTGCCCTGCCTCTCAGCTTCTGGCCGCCCTGCTCCTCCCCTCCTCAGAGACCCGTCTGCCCCAGCACTCTGTCTTCTCCTTGAAAGGCTGGCTCCCTGTCACGTCTCACTTCTCATCTTGCATGTGTGTCACCCTGACCCTCCTCTCTACAGGAGCTTGTTTTCTCTGGAGCACTTGTCTGAGCCAAGCACTTGGCGTACGTGTCTGTCTCCCCACTAGAGTGTACACTCCGTGAAGCCACTCCCTTGTTTGTCTTCTCACCTGTGTTTACAGAACCTGGAATCGTGCCTGGCACACAGTGGATTAGCATCAGATAATAACCTTTCCACAAACCACTGATGTGATCAGTTCAGTGACACTGGCTGCAGATGACAAGTTTCTGTCAAGTGGAAACATGATTTCCATAATTCCTACTAGCCCACTAGTACTGTTCCTACTATGTGGAGTCATGGTGTCACAGCAGGGTCCAGGCCGTGAGTGGCACAGAGAAGCTGAGTGGATGTGCTGCTCTGCGAGTCTCACCTCACCTGCCAGTGAGTTGCACAGTGGCTTTTGGTAAAACTGTCTTCTTTGTGTAGACAGAGAATTCAGCTTAACACTCTCAAAGGCTTCCCCAAAAGCCTGTCTCAAGTGTTGGGAGTTTTTGAGGTGAAGGGAAAAGCCACCCTGTCCACTCACAGATAGGCACACCTGTTTGCCATCTAGCCTCGGTGCCTTGGGGTGTGTGTGTGTGTGTGTGTGTGTGTGTGTGTGTGTGTGCGCACAGATGGGAATTTGTTTAGCCACACGTTCCTCAGCTCAGATTTCTGTAGAGCACCTGCTGTGGCTGCTGCTTTGGCCCTTAGTTTGCGTGCACAGGGCTCATAGGCCAGTGGCGAATCAGGAGTCCATGGCATACAAGGTCTTCACTCTCACCGTGCTCATAGGCCAGACAGTAGCTGCTGGGAGAACAGACTCCTGAGAAAGTCAGCACAGGATTTAGAGAGGGGTGTGCATTTGCGGTTCATGTTAATCAGTTCCCTGGAAAAACAAGCGAGGCAAGAGGAGTCAAGGCATAAAGGCATGTACATCCATAAATATAATGGATGTCTTAGATGTTTTGGGGAGTTGCATTCCAAGGCCTTTAGGACTCCCCAGATTTGTCACAAAGAATTCCCCCGAAAAAAACATTCCACTGAAAATCACAAGTTTTCACCATGCATGGATGATGCACACCTGTAATCCTGGCACTCGGGAGGCTATGACAGGAAGATTGCCATGAGTTCTAGGTTAAACTGTGTAACAAGACCTTATCTCAAAAAAAAAATCAGGTTTTCTACATAGATTTTTCATATCACAAATTAACCTTCCCAAATTTTACTGAACAATGATCCTCTTGTTTAATTCTTCTTGTGTAGTTCATAATGCCTGTATTTATCCATCTTACAGACACTCCAGCATTCCTTAAATACATTTTCCAAATTTCTCTTTTCTAACTTGAACTCCCTTAGGTTTCTTCTTTCATTTCACTCAATAGTGAGAGGCCTTTTCTCCAGTGTTGGTGCCATTGAGGCCTTTTTCACTAAAAAGCAAAGTTATTATCACTTTGTGACAGTGATTATCACTTTGTGACAGTCAGCAGGGAGCACGAAAGCCCTACACAGATGCAGACCTCAGCGGCTCCTGTGCTCCCCTCGCCTGCAGACAGCTTGTCCTCAGCACAAGTGACATGCTTCCGCTTGCATGGCTTTGTTGACCATTCACAAACAACTCAAAATGTTGACTCTGGAATTCCTGAGGCTGTTGCTTGTGTGGTCTGTGCTGTGTGTGAGATACAGGTGGATGCACCTGCAGACGCAGGTAAGTAAAGGGCTGTGAGTTGACACAGCTGGGCTTCTCCCCAGTAGGGGTACGCTTACCCATCCTGATCTCCGAGCTTTGTGCTTTGCAATCACTGTGAAGTGACCCTGAGCTCTGCTTCTGCTGCCATTGTGTACCAGAAGCCAAGGGCAGGAGTGGGACTGGGCGTCAGCCTTCGGTTGGCTTCCCGCATGCACCCGTCTTCCCAGCACCCTTGGGCTCCCCTCAGTCTGCCATCTCCCTCAGCCCATAGAGACAGGATAGAGATGAGGGCCTTTGGACTGCCACTGCTCTGGGCTGGGCCCAGCACAGGCCTCTGTCTGCCCCTAGCTGTGGCATGGCTCTGCCATACTGAAGTACAGAAGGTGCCCAAACTGCACCCTGGCCTTTGAAATCTGAGCCTTTAGTCAATGGCATCCTCTTCCTAGAATGTTCCCTCTATTCCTATGCGGTGAATGTTTCTGAAACTGCTTTTGCCCCTCTGTTAAAGGAATGTCTGATACTGCATTAGGGCCTACTTGATTTTCTTACAGTAGTCTCTTCATCTCACAGTCCTTAACCTCAGAAGGCTAAGGCAGGAGAGCCATGACTTTGGAGGTAGAATAGTGAGACCTCAAAAAATGAAATAAGCAGCTGGCTGTGGTGCTGCATGCTTATTATCCCAGTGCTTGGGAGGTTGAAGCAGGAGGATCTGTGAATTTGAAGCCAGCCTAGGCTACATGGTGAATTCAAGACTAGCCTGGACTACGTATGCTGTGAGACCTTGTCTCAAATGAAAAAGGAAGAAGGAAGGAAAAAGAAACGAAAAGAAATCATTAACCTATTTACTTCGACATAGACCCTTTTTTCTAGTAAAGTCACGTGTACGAGTTCCAGGGATTATGACTTGGTATCTTTAGCTGGTCCGTTTCAACTTCTCCTAGCGACGCCTTTGGCTACTAAAGATTCACATCCATCTCACATGCAGAATACATCCCCAGTATCCCAAAAAGTCTCAACCCCCCATCTCAGCCTCTTCTGTTCAGTCCTCAGAGAAGATGCTGCCGGCCCTCCAGCTAGCTCTGTCGTCTCCCCCGTGACCTGCCTGCAGTGCTGGCACCCGTCTTCAGCAGGGGGGAAGTCTGCTCTGTCACATTTTCAGTTTGTGCTTGTGCTGTGTTCTCCCACCACAGTCCCATTTCTGGGCCCAGCACCTCTGCATTGAGTTCACATGCAGAGTGGCCGTGAGGGCCCTGCCTCCACAGAGGTCTGTACTTTGCTCCAGGCTGACTGTTAGTCCCAGCCAGTCCCCGCTAGCCTTTAAGAAGAAGGTGGCAGGCAATTTAAGGGGGCTGAGTTTGAGTTTGCTCTTGTGAATGGAAGGACAGGGACTTGGCACTGAGTGGAAACAGGACCAAGAGGGCACCCTTTAAGGGTCTACCTCACGGAATCCCCACCTTCTTCACTACCGCTCTTCTCGCCTCTCATCCCATTGTGTGCCTTTGATTTCTTGGTGCAGATCTATGGCTGGTAGGAAAAAAGAAAGTGCTGGTTCTTCATTACTTAGGTGATTTAGATAAATAACTACACGTGGTATTTTATAAGGCGAGTACGAATGCTGAGTGGCACGCTGAGACTGCACATGCATTAGCTAATGTGGCAGTTCGAAGACTAGGTTGTATGAGACCCCTGGACCGGAGGAGACCAGGTTTAGAGAGGTCTAGCATCTTGCCCAGTTCTCACAGATGCTACCTATGGCCAGGATTTTTCTCAGCCTCCGTGTCTGGAGGACCTACAGCCCTCACCCTGTGCCCACACAGCCTTCTGCACATGGGATGGCTCTGGGCTCAGAAAAGGCAGGCAAGTGAGTCTCCTCCCCCTTTCAAGGGCTGTTTCTGCACCCAGAAACTGAGGTGTAGAGGTGTGGTCCCCCTGGAGCAGGGTGCCCTAGGCTACCGTTCCAGCCTTGCCCAAATGGGAGGGCACTCCAGGCTTTCTATCTGCAAGAATTAGATCGTCCACAGTGCCTCAAGCAGCTGCAGCAGTCAGGCCCTGGAGACCACTAAGTCAGGCTTGGAATGAAAAAAATAAACTTGATGGGAAGATTTAATTTGTGGGGACTTCGGATTTTAAAGTGGCATTTCATTAAACCTCGCCCCTTTTTAACATACATTAAACAGACCAACTCGTATTTTAATACAGTTTAAATTGTAAGGAAGTAAGGACAAGGAAAAAATAAAAACAGCAGAGTAAGATGCCCAGGAGTGTGATCTGTTCTCAAAATTCATGACTTAAAGTCAGATCCCAGGCCTAAAAGTGAGCCATAGATTTGGCCCGAGGGTCTTGCAGAAAAGAGCAAAGAAGAAAATACAATTAATCAAGTTTATGATAGGCTTTCTCACACTTGAGATTCTTGGAATTAATAACAGAGCCATTCACCCCGGGGTCTCCGTTCCTTCAGTGCAGTGCACATGGTGGGGGTCCCTGCGTGGCACCGAATGAACATTCCAGAAGGCCAACTCTGATCCAGGTTCTGCACATCCCTACCTTAGTAACCTCAGGAATCATATTCCTCACCTTAGCCACTGGGATTTAAAATCATGTGAGCATTTATTTTATTGTGAGAGAATTCTTTTCGTGCATCTTTGTTGAGCCTTTAGAACCATTCTTTAAGATATGAACTATCCTCCTCCCTGGTTTACTGATGAGCAAATTGAAGCACAGAAAAATTAAGAATCACTTGTATCCCAAATCCAGTAACTTCAGAACTGGGATTTGAACCCATTTCTGGCTTGTGTAATTCATACCCACTGCTCTTTTTACAAAATCAGTCTGCAGCTTCTGAGCTGCATGACAGGGGACTGAGAGTCTTGGCCAGAGTTCCTTCAGTAGTCTGCCCAGCACCTGTCCCCCATCCTCTTACACATATTTGTGGTATATCTAGAGTCTTTTCCAAATTGTATGGAGAGGGAAAAAAGGATTGAGTCGCTCCTGTGTTGTTGTTCCTCGGTCTTCTCTCTTAGTGCTATCTCACGTGTAGAATTCATCCTAAGCCACACTACACACACACACACACACACACACACACACACACACACACACACACAGGGCACAGCAGGTGGCCTCTGCCTAGCTCCGAGAAAGATAGGATCCTCTCCCAGCCAGGTGTGAGAAACCACACCTGCAGAGAAGCTGAGGGGGCAGCACTACTCGTCCTGTCCCATAAAAGGGGGCCCAACATCGTGCTAGAGAGTGGGGCTGCAGAGATGAGAGAGCCCATCTGTGGGAAGCCTGCTCGTGGGGTAAACTGGTATCATTTCCATGACATGTCATCAGAGAAATATAAAGAATAGCTATCACTTGTTCATGCTTCTTGGAGATCAACTCTGCCCCAAAATCCATAGTTACCACTTCTGCAGTCATCTAGAATAGTAGAACTGTTATCCCCACTGTATAGATGGAGGCACAGCAGAACAAGCAGTGCCCTCCAAGCCCCTGCCCACAGTCAGTGCTACAGCAGGAATTCAAATCCAGCCTTGTCTGCCTCTGAAAACTGCACCCTTAGCTGTTCCCTAGAAGGAGAGAATGGTCAGGGGGTCTGTGAAACGACTCTAGAGATGTTCTTTGAATGTTGCTTAGTAATTCACTAAAGAGCAGTAGAGGACAGGCTTCACGGGGGAGAGAACAGAAGAAACAAAGTTACAGAGGAAGAAACACTCTCTGGGGAAACGGCAAGCCACCTCGAGAGACCAGGGAAAAAGATCAAATGAGAACCCTGGATTTTTGGGCCTGGGAGCATGGGCGGCAGCACTTGTGGCGGTGATTCACCTATGACAGCAGAACCAGGAGCTTCATTCAGCCTGCTGCTGTTGAGGTGACTCCTGCACAGCTGGGTTTGCAGCCATGTGTTTGAAATGCGTTTGTTTTCTGCCTGGAAATAAGGAGTTAGTGGATGCAGCAGCTTATTCCCCAGACATTTTAATCTTTGCGGCTCAAGTCTGAAAATACTGTGTAAAGCCAGTGTGTAGCACTGTAGAGAGCATTGAGCACAGTGCTAGAGTAATGCCCACCAGAGAGGAAATCGCAGCCCAGTACTTGCCAAGAAGTGCTAAAGTCCTCAGATACTGCATTGTGAGATCACGGAAATACATTGCTCGTTAAAAGGACTGTCTTACTAGAACCTCGAAAGTCTTTGGTGCTGGTAATGCCAACTCGCTTTTTTGGTGAGCATTCTGTCCGGGAGATCTAGTCCCAGCACCCTGTTCAGCAGGTGTGGTAGAAGTGGGAGGATAGTATCTGGGAGTTCCAAGCACACATACTAGAGGTGGGCTGCTGACTTTGTATCTTAGCTGCACTCTGGGCAGGTCTCGTTGACTTTCTGCATGTTTCTTCATCTGAAAATGGAAGCAGTGATTACTTCTCAAGAGCTTAATTACCTCGAGGTGCTCGACTCTGTACCTTGCTAATAGTAAATGTTCAGTAAATGGTAATTCTTGTTACTACAGGGCACCATGATAGGTCATGAAGAGCACAGAAGTTGTATCATTTGGTCAAGGGACCTTCAGCCATTTGTGTGCTTGGACTTGTTCCCCTGTGTTAAAAAGGAGATGAAAGTGCCATCTCTCATGGGATTGTGACGAAAGCTGTTCCCACTTTGATTGTTATGGCTCAAGCTGGCAGTGCTGCCTGAATCACGGAGTGAGGCTTGGTGTGTTGCCTCCTGATTCTCTCAGCTATCCGGGACTCCTGCCATCCTCCTGCTGCAGAATGGTCACAGGAAAACCCACTTTCATTCTAACCTCATTTTGACGTTTTGGGTAAAGCACACTTACATATGCGTTGTGCTGCTGGTTTTGTCCCTCCCTCACTAGAAAATTCTTCCCCCTACTCAGGTACCATGTCCTCCGAGGAAGACGTTCCCTACCCTCCTTACCAACTGGACCTTAGACACCATCTGCTGCTCACTGGGACAGCACTCTGCCTGACTGAGTGTTCACTCTGTTCTGTTCCTGAGTGTAGTCTCCCTCGCAAGGCTCTAAACACTGGGAGAGCAATGGCATTTTTGCTTTTGTGCCTCCTGCTCCACATTCACACGCAGCATTGGAGGGAATGAGTCCGCAGATGGCTGAGGGTGATGGCCAGTTAGCAGTGCCCTCGGCATCTGAGTATGCTTCCTTGGGGTTGCTCCCAGCATGCCAGCCCCTGAGTGAACTAGACATTTAGTGGTGTACCAGTGCCTCTGGGCCAAGGGCAAAATCTTGTGTGAATGGGATATCACGACGCAGTGATCTTAGAAGAGGCCTTTTCAAGGAGTGGACTCCTCACCTCTGACTTGCCTAGCAGTAAAAACCTCAAAGCCCAGCAGTGCTTAATGGTTGTTATGTTTTATGCCCCCGGTGCATGCCATATTGGCTTAAGTCTTCTAAATGCTTTTCTGGAAGCTGAGGGTACTGTTCCTGCCACATCCGTACATGCCTGTTAGAACATGCAACTTTCAACTTTTCATTTTCTTTGTAGGTAACGATGTGGGTCCATCATCTTCAAGTAAGACCACAAACAAGTTTGAAGGGTTGTCTCAGCAATCAAGGTGAGCCGTCTTAATGCTTTTCTCCTACATGGCTCATACTTGGCAATAGACAGGATTGCAGAAGTGGGCTTTACTGCTTTCCCAGTTCTCCCCAAGTGGATCGGCCACAGTGCAGCTCATGGGGAGAAAGCGAACAGCAGCCAGCAGCTTGCATGTGTGTCTTACTGCACAGCTGCAGTGGGCCTCATTGCCTGGCCTGGGCCTGGCCTCACTGCCCAGGTAGTCCTGGAGTTGTACACTGACCGCTGACAAAATTTAAGAGTGAGTGCAAGTTTTTATTTTGCTGGTTTAATTAAATATTTTTGTTTTGTGACTTTCCTCCTTGACCCCTTTTGCAGATCTGAAAATGAAAAGATGCTTCTCAGGGAAATATACCCCAGAGATTTCCAAATATTAAAAAAGAAAAAGGAAAAAAGCAACCACTTCTGGGTTTCCTGTTTGTAAGATTTTTCTAGCTGGGCAGTAAATAGTGTTTGTAGCTCCCCCTTCTCCCAGAATGAGGTACTTTGGGAAATCCACGAGGGCAGTATTTACGCAGCCCTGCCCCAAAGGTGCAGTTCCGGTAAGGGCACAAAGAACCACTTCAGCCCCGAAGCCTCGGGAAGAAAGTCAGCTAGTCTGTGGGCTCCCCGCTGTAGGGTTCATCAAAGGTGAGGAAATGAACCATGGTGCTTCGCATGCTGCTGTCCTCCTTATTCTCTGCAAGCCTGTGGGGCAGACCCCAGTCACTGTCAGCCTCCGCTTCCTAGAGGGGAAAACAGGCCCGAAGTATTGCAGGCCTCCTGGCTGGTTTTCCACACGCAGTGCTCCATGTCCTGCCTGGCCCGCCCCACCTTCATTCTCACTTGCTCCTTCCTCTGCACTTTGGGGTCCCGTAAAACTGGTGTTTTACTGATCTTCTTCTAGAAGGGGCAGTGGCACACAGAATGCACTCATGAACTTCTTGGTTGTGTTTGTTGGTTTGTTTGTTTTGAGACAGTCTCACGGTGTAGCACAGGCTGGCTTTGAACTCCCTCACTGCAATCCTCCTGTATCAGCCTCCCAAATCCTGGGATTACAGGCGTGTGCCACCTCACCGAGCTCACAGAATGTTTTTAAAAAGCAGCTAAGATACAACTCAGTGGTAGAACACTTAGCTAGTATGCATGAGAGGGCGGCTCTAGCCCTCGGTCACCTTTACTTCCCAGGTCTCTGGGCTCCTGGTGCTCTCTGAAGACTCTTGCAGGCTCATGGGAAAGGGAAGTGGTGGCTTTCAGCGAACAGAGGACACATTTGATTATTTAGACCACATAGTACAGATTGCTCTTCCAGGGACTGAGGCTTTTTTTCCCCTACACATTTACATGTCCTCCAAAAGGAGGCCGCTGCCCAGGCATGTCTGGCACTGGAGAACCCGAGCTGTCTGTGCTGGCATAGAAGAGGAAGTGAGTGCCCAGGGCCCCACAGAGCAGGACTGAATTTCCGCTTCCACCCCTGAATGGCCTGGCACCTTCTGCCAGCCAGTGACACTCCGCACCTCAGGTGCCCTGTCTGAAATGGGGGCGACAGGGCTGCTTGGGGGGATCCCAAGGTGTGGGTCCTTCCGTGTACTTCACTGGAGTTGCAGCTAGCCTGGTGTTTCCATCCATCATCTGGGAGGAGCTTTGGCTTGTTAGCAGGGATGCCCTTCACCCTTACCCTGCGCTTCTTAGCAAGGCAGACTGAAATATGAGACACAGACTAATGTTCTGTTAAATAAGCTGTGAAAGAACTGTTTCGGTGATTCATAAATACCTTGATTTCCTTGAAGAGTGGGTCACTATTGCCGTTGTAGCTGCTGTGAATCCTAAAATTGTTGTTATTTATCAAATAGCACCAGTTCTGCAAAGACTGCCCTTGGCCCACGAGTTCTTCCTAAACTACCTCAGAAAGGTAAGATTCATCATTTTCATATTCACAGGCAAGTAAAGTGTCTCTGTCCTCCCAGAAGTCTCTCTTGCTCACTGACCTATTTCAAATGCCTAGAGCAGAGCCTGACACATAATAGTTGCTCAACAAATACTTGTTAAGCCAAGAACATTCTTCATAAACTCGAAACCTATGATTAGCAAGCCCATGATGATACTTTTCCCAAAAAGCAGCACTTTTCAGAAGACACTTTGTTACAACCCCCAGGGACCCTTCTCTCCCCTCTTGGAAACGTGATCTGAGAGACCTAGGAATCAGTGCTGGCTCTTCCTTGGCCAGGTGTTTTGGTAGCTTCCCACAACATGGATGCCTCATCTGTAGAGCGGGAATAATAGCCTGCTTTGTAAGTGTTTGTGAGGGTATCATTCTTCAGGAAGCCCCTCACAAGTAGATGGCCAAGAAACCCTTGCCTGGGTTGGCACCTGTCCTACAGAGGAAAAGCACTGTGATTTGCCGAACACAGGAAAACAGTGTCTCTGAGTGCTGCTGTGTTGTCAAGCAGAGAGACTCAGATTTTCCACCAAATCTTCCTTACCTCCCTCCAAACTTTGCACTTACAGAAGCTAAGTTTCAGCAGTCAGGCATGGTGGCACACACCTGTAATCCCAGCTCGTGGGGGCTGAGGCAAAATGATCTCCATTAGTTCAAGGTCAGTCTGGGCTACATGGTTCAGGGCCAGCCTGAACTGCAGGCCCTGACTACAAAAAAAAAAAGGTTATCTTCGTACTACAACACAAATGATAGGGCAGACCCAGGCCTTACCTTCAGAGTTACTGGACATCTCTGGGCAGGTGCTTCACTCTGTCCTTGTGAAACCAGAGACCGTCTGGCTCTGAGAACTCCGAGCTGCTGTACACTGAGGCTCTGAGAACTCCGAGCTGCTGTACAGGGCGCCAGTGCACCAGCAGCCAGACTTGACGGCAGCCCAGCGCTCTGGGCCTATTCAGGTGCAAGGCAGAGTGCAGATTAGTGTCGGGAAGTGGAAACCCACTGCCTTGCAGGCCGCCTCGGCCGGCCGAGGGGCACCTTCAGAAGTACAGTGCGCCTGCCTTGCAAGTGTGTGGTTGTGAGTTCAGTCCCCGGTACTGATAAAAAAAAAAAAAGAAGAAGAAGAAGCACAGTGGTGGCCGGCTGAGGATTTAGCTCAGTGGCATAAAACTTGCTTTGCAAGTATGAGGTCATAAGTTCAATCCCCGGTACAAAAAAAAAGCAGCACAGTGCATGGGGCCAGGCCCCATCAGGTAGGTGGCCCCGTGGCTGCCGAATCCTCTCGGTGGAACAGGAGGGAGGTGCCCCCGAGTTTGCTGGGTCTCATCTGGGGTGGTTTTGGCTGTGGTGCCAATTGTCCTCTGCAGCTCTGTGCGATGCTGTCCTGGTCTCAGAAGAGTTTGAACCATGTTTCCCAGGCACTGCTCCCATCCAGAAGCTTCCCTTCACTCTGCTCACAACTGTCCCTCCTCTGTCTGCCTCCCACTCATTTCCTCTCACACTCAGACCCCATGGTTCTCAGTCCCACTAAGACCCACCTGTGACTGCCGCCATCTGCTCCCTGTCCTCCTCCTCCCCATGGCCTCCCATGTCACCTGTCCCAGCTCAGCACATCACCAAAATCACCTCCGTAACCCCTCCCGCTTCCTCCCTCCTGCACTGTGCTCCCCTCTCCCTGCCAAGCCTGGTGCCTGCTCTGACAGCTCAACCACCAGGCAGCAGTCTCATTCTCCTGACCGTGGCATCATGCTGCCTGCTGCTGCTGCTGCTGCTGCTGCTACCAGCCCAGCCTTCACACTGCCCTCTCTCAGGACAGCTTGGCATCTGCTCTCTGAGCCAGGACCTGTGCCCGCCCCGCCCCTACCTTGTGCTCAAGACCCAGAAGGAGAACCCTGCACCTCTTGCCCACTAGGGTAGCACTCCAGCTCACGTCTCTCCCTCATGTCGTAAACTGTTCTCTCTGAATGCTCCATCGGAACGCAGATCTGCTGGCTGACCACCCCATCTTGGCATATGTCTCTCTTACTGCCGCCCACTGCTCTCGGTCAGTGATGCCAGCCTTTCAGAACTTGCAGGGGTAACTAACAGCCACCTGCAGCAAATGGGCCATAGGTTCACCACCACTGGCTACACCCACTTGCTTTGTGTAAATACTTCTGCAGTTCAGTGTTATATAAGAATCCCCATAGCACTTTGGGAGGCTGAGGCAGGAGGACCCCAAGTTCGATCCCAGCCCAAACAATTAAATGAGACCCTGTCTTTTAAACAATTTTTAGAGAGGCTGGGTATGGAGCTAAGTGTGAAGGCCCTGGCTTCAGCCCACAAGGTTCAACAAAGTAGCACACAGAGAAAAGTGAGTGTCAGCCTCCTCTCCCAGGTAAACCCATCATCCATCCCTAGCCCTGATGAGTTATTTACCTTGCCACTAATATTTCTGTAGCAGATCCCAAACATCGAGCCACTTTGTGAACATGCAGTCTGTTACCACGTGTGAAAAATCGGAAATTCCCTGACATGTTCACAAGAGGGTTGTAATGTATATATCTTGCTACCGGGTGGCTCCAAAACCACTGGCACGTGCATGACTGTCTCATTAGGTAGCAGATGTGGGGATGCAGCTCCAGGGTGGAGCCCCTCAGATTTGAGCCCTAACATCACAAAGCAAAGAAGAAAGTTCCCAGTCTCGGAGCACCATGCTCTAAGAGCTTCCTTACTGGCAGAGCCTGGGTATGTGCGGCCTCAAAGCTAGCATGAGGGAAGGTATGTGCATCTGTGCACCTGTCTGTTCTCTGTTCTGTTTTTGTACTGGTCTTGAACCTAGAGCCTTTGCACTGCGCTCTGTCACCAGACCCTTTTTAGCTAAGTTGTCAAACCTAGGCTGAAACTTTTGATCCTCCTGCCTCGGTCCTCAAAATGTGGGACTGTAGGCCTGCATTGGTACATGAGTACCAACAAGGGTTTACTCATGAGAGCTTTACCCCGACGACCTTGTCTATTCCATAGACCTCACTCCTGAGCAGCGTAGATTGTTTCTGTCTCACAGGGTCGTATCTGAACACGTTGCTTTGCACATACTTACACCGTGTGCAGACCATACCAGCCTGCATCTCTGTCTTGCTGCGGAAACTGGGTTATTTGTTCCACAGGTCTTTCAGTCTGTATTTTGCTGTTTGTTCAACATTGTCCCACAGCTTCCTGTCCAGTAGACACAGGTTTGGTTTAGGTAAAGTGCTCCCTTGGTGGGGATGCATCCTCCCAGGAGGTACTCTGACTGTCTTCATGGGAAGGTCGCCACTGCTAGTGCTCACAGCCAGGACACAGCCTGCACCCCTGGACCCCTTGCAGGGCTGTGGTCAGCCTTAGCCAGGCTTAGATGGCACAGCTGCAGCCCTGCACCCTGCTGCTCACTGGCGTGCCTTGCCCTGGACGCCATGCGTTTATTCTCCCAGCAGACAGTTCAGCACATCTATAACCCTGTCTTCCTCGTGTCCTCAGTCTTGAGCTGTTGGGGTGGCCCAGGCCACCTTTGATATTCTTCAGGATGAGTCCTGTAACCGGGGTGGCAGGTGACTTACATATTTGAGGGCTTGGAGCATCCAGCACTTATGTCCTCCTCTCCCTTAAGTATGGCTCCAGCGAGGTCTTCCGGTTTCACCCCCTCAAGGAATCCCTTGGTTTATTCCCCCTTGCTGCTGCCCTCAGACTGTGGTTTGCCGAGATAAGATCAATTTACAGAGAAGCCAGACTCATTTCCTTTCACCTTTGAGCTAAGCCAAGTTAGCTGGACTCAAAGGCATGCCAGGAGTAGAGTATCCTTGAGAGTGACTCCTTCAGAAGGATCTGTGGCTAGGCAGGCCATGAGCAAGCAGCCCCCAGGGAGCTTGGAACAGTTCCTCACACTGGTTAATCCCCCATCGTGTGTTCCTGTCTGTCTATCTTCCCACTACTGGAGATTGAACCCAGGCCTTCACATTGAACTACATGTTAAGCCCCTTTTTTTAGTTTTTATTTTGAACCTGGATCTTACTAAGTTGCCCAGACTGGGCTCAAACCTAGTATTCCTGCCTCAGCCTCACAGGGCACTGAGACTGAAGCATGTGTCACCACGCCCAGCTTTCCTCTAAAGATGTTTTTCTACATCTGTTACATTTTTAAGATAAAATCCTTAGTTTGATTCAGTCCCTGTGCCTTCATCAGCTGTTTGCTCATTGAGCATACACTCTGCCAGGAACCAGAGCTACACATACAGGAATCCTGGCCTCAAGGAACCCTACTGCACAGGAAGGATAGGGTTACTCTTAAGAAATAGAGCCTGCCAGTGAATTCTCCATATGTATTCTATAATCATCAGGGCCGTCCTTCCAGGTAGTTTTGGAGATGAGAATGTTGAAGACAGTTCATACAGTTTGCCCCAGATCACACGGCTGGTGAAAGGTTGGGCTCAAGTTAGAGATATCCTGAGTGGTGTAAGCAAACCCCTCAGAGCTCCGGAGGGGCGGCGTGGAGACTGGGGACCTCGCCTTAGTGTGCAGTAGAATACAGCTGCTAAAGAGAACTAGGAACTTAGAAACACTCCTGAACACATTAGGAGAAACAGAATTTCAGACAGTGTTACTACAACGGATGTATTATAACCCAAGTACTGGTACCCACACTACGGCCTTGGTTATCACTGACATGTAACACAGTCCTGATGAAGGTGGGTAACAAGAAGCTTTTTGCTTCTTACACCCTGCATGGATCATACAAAATAAGGGAATAAAGTATTCCATCAAAATTCTATGTGTACTAATAAAGAAATTTAGTAACTTGGTAAACACTCTGCTTAAACAACACATAAAGTTACAGCTATTGAAATTACATAGCAAAATCAAGAAAGGAAATATTGCAGGTGGCCACACTTAAATGGATGGTAGGCTAGTGGGAAAGTTTGTTGTGATGGTTGTGGTGGTGTTTTTCTTAAGATAGGGTCTCACTGTGTAATGCATGCTGGTCTTGAACTCAAGTATGTGGCCCAGGCAGACCTCAATACTCATGGTGATCCTCCTGCCTCCGCCTCCAAAGTGCTGGGATTACAAGTGTATACCACCATGCCCAGCTTTTTGAAGTTTAAACTACTTTCCAATTTCCACAAACTGTATTGTTTGCTTTCATAAAAGATTTTGGGTTAATACAGGTGCCACGTGCCATGTTGTTACATAATTGAACGATAAAACCTTGAATTACTGTGTAGGTGCGTTCCTGGCCTCCACCGTGGCCTTGCTAGGGACAGGCCGGCAGGGGTTGGCCCTGAGCCAGCCATTCCAAGTGTGTACTGGAGATGGATTTCTTTCCGGTGGCTGGGCTCTCTCAGTGACTATGAGGAGAGCAAACCTGCCTTGCCCCTCACATTCCATTCCAGTGACTTCCCTCTCTGATTGTCCTTGCAGTGGCACTAAGGAAAACAGAAACGAGCCATCATCTTTCCCTGGACAAAGCCAACCTCCCAGCCGAGGTTTTTCAGAAGTCATCACAGCTGGCAGAGTTACCCCAAAAGCCACCCCCTGGAGAGCTACCCCCAAAGCCCACAGAACTGGCCCCCAAACCCCAGATTGGAGATCTGCCACCTAAGCCTGGAGAGCTTCCCCCCAAGCCACCACTGGGTGACCTGCCACCCAAGCCCCAGCTCTCAGACTTACCTCCCAAGCCGCACGTGAAGGACCTGCCCCCCAAACCACAGCTGGGAGACCTGCTGGTAAAGTCCCAGGCTGGTGACATCTCAGCCAAGGCTCAGCAGCCCTCCGAAGTCATTCAGAAGTCACAGCCAGTGGATCTGTCCCCAAACATGCAGTCCAGAGACACCATCCAGAAGCAGGCATCAGAAGACTCCAGTGACCTCACGCCCACTCTGCCTGAGACGCCTATACCACTGCCCAGAAAGATCAACACGGTGGGTGGCCCCAGCTGGGCTCCACAAGCCTCTGAGGCCCTGTGAGGTCGGCGGGAGGAGGGGACTACTATGGCCTAACGCAGGGAAGTGTGGGCGTCTGCTCCCTAAGCTGGCCAAGCTTGCACACTCTGGCTCAAGGGTGGCAGTGGAGCCTGGTGGTTACTAAAACAGGCTTCAGACTCCCAGGCTCCCTCCAGACCTGGTGCTAGTGGCTGGTGTAACTGCACAGCCACGGCCGGTTCTATGCCTTCTTGTGCAGAAAAGGAATTGGTGTGATAATTCACCCCATCATAGTAACACGCCACAGCCCTTCTCAGTTGCTCAGAGTCAGCACAGGGGGGAAAATCTGTGGGTGTCACGGTTTTTCCAGGCTTCCCAGACCCCCACCCACCCCTCAGCATACTGCAGGATGGAGGGGTTCTCTCAGGGTCAAGGAAGACTCCAGGGGCAGAGAGGAAAAGCACTGAAGGAGACAGCTTGCTCTTCTTATTGCTAATTATTTAATTAGGTGGGTGTTAAAAGTGTACTTCCTCATTGGAACTGGAATGAGGAAGTTCCAGCAAAGAACTGAAAACCCAGCCAATAATACCCAAATCAAAGCTGGCCAGAAATTACAGTACGGAATCCTTCCAGCCCAGGCTGATCCTGCTGGGCTTGACCCGCATGTCCTGACCTGCTGTTTTGCATGAGGGGACTGAGAAATTTGTTTATGTTGCACATTGAGTATGCAGAAGCTGCACATTTGTTTTACATCATGTTTCCTAAAAACATTTTTAGACTCTGTTGTCATTTCTGCCCGCTGATACTGCCGTGGAGCGGGCAGGTCCCATCCCTAAGTGGAGGACGCAGCTGATGCTGCTAGTGCAAGAGCTAGCTGTCTGTGCTGGAGAGTACCCAGCCCCATGGGCTTCTGGCAGATGTCCCTGTCACTCCGAGCAGGCATGCATGCTTGCACGCACATGTGTGCGCACACACACACACACACACACACACACACAGGGAAGTCAAAGCCACCCGACTTTTAGTGAGCACTGTGCTCTTTTTTGTGTGTTCAGTCTGTTTTCACAGCTAAAACCCAGTTTCTTTATTGAAGGGAAAAAATAAAGTGAGACGTGTGAAGACCATTTATGACTGCCAGGCGGACAATGACGACGAGCTCACGTTCATAGAGGGCGAAGTGATCGTGGTTACCGGGGAGGAAGACCAGGAGTGGTGGGTACGTATGGATGTCTGTTACCGCCCAGATGCTTAGCCCTGCAGTGAGTAAGACAGGCGGCCCTGCAGCACAAAGACCCTGCCAGCTGTGCCACTCACCTCAGTGACTCTGGGTATGGGATCTTCTCAGTCACTGTAGCCTATCCTAGAAAAACAGACACAGTGTTTGAAGGGGGTCAGAAGAAATAGCATCCATATATGCCTTTCCCATGGTATCATACAACAACCTTGTGTGGTGTAGGTGTTGTCTACTGTTTCAGATGGAAAGCGTCTCCAGAACATCAAGCACATTGCCCGTCACCTTTCCCTAGCACCCAGTAAGCAGGCAGAGTCATGACTCCCAGTCTACCCTGACCCCAAAGCCCTCGTACTTTGCTCTCTTTGCACACTGTCCCCAGCCTGGGCATGAGAAAGCCCAGGTGTCATCCAAAGTAAGCCGTGTGGCCAGTGCTTAGTCCTTAGGCTCAATCCCATAGGCACCTGAAGTTCTCCCTTTGCAAAGTGTGGCCACAACTTCCTTGCTTGGTTTTAGAAGATTAGATGACAGTAGCTCCTAGAACGTTACAGTAAAACCTGTTGCCCACGTTGGGAAAGGAGGGGCACCATTGTCCTTCCCAGTGACCTGTTCAGAGGGCAGCGGCCTGTGGATACCAGGCTGTAAGAGGCCTCCAAGGTCAGCTGCACAGCGCATACTGCTCAGGCTGACCAAGGAGTGAGTCTTCTCAGGAACTGCCAGCCCAAGGTGCATCCTGTCTCCCTTCCTGGACTTCAGGCAATATCTGAGGACATTCTGATTGTCAGGAAGGACCTGGGTAAGGTGGTTGCTATGGCATCTTATAGGTAGAAGCAGGGATGCACAAACATTCTGCCATGCTCCATGGGGCCCTTGCAACAAAGAACATGAGTAGTGCTGAGGTGGAGAAATTGAAGACTGAAGTGACGAGGGCTCTGGCTGTCTGCTGGGCAGGTGAGCCCAGAGGGTCTGCATTCTTCAGGCCCCTCGTGGTGGAGCTGGGCTTGCCCCCAGTACGCAGTCTGCTGGAGAACCAGCTCAGGATAGCAACAAGGAGGCAGACTGAAGTCCCAGCTAGAGTCACTGCTGCTCTGTGGCCTTGGAAAAAAGCATGTCCCTTGTGCAGACCTGTTTCTACTGAAAAACTGGGCCATGATTTATCTACTTCACAGGAATATCACAGGACTCCTTTTGTAGTCTGTTAATGTCACTGCTGTTGGAAATGATTGCATTCTTTGCTCAGAAACTGGTAACTCCAGCCCAGACTCCTGGGAGATGAGAGAGAGCCTCATCCATGTCTCCAGCCTTCTTGTTGGGAGAAATTCTGTGGGCTGTCCACACGTGTCCAGCCAGACGTAGAGATGCTACCACACATCCTAGCAGAGCCCTCCAGCTGCAGCATGCCAGCTAACACTCACACCATCTGTATGCCACATCTTCCCATTAACTACACTGTGCAAACAAGGCAGTCAGTAGCAAGGATCTTCCCTGAGAGCAGCCCTGGGGTGTGAGGGCACCTGGACCTCTACGCTGCAGGTGCATCACGGAGGGAGAAGACAGTGGGCCTCGCCTGGCTCATGCTATCTCCACCTTAAAATGGAAAGCCAACACGAATGGCATTCTTTCTTTTAAAGGCTCATAATATGATTCTCTTTAATGTAATTAATACTGGTCTAATTGAGGCAATGAGAAAAATTTTTCAGGTTACCGTGGCATGCAGGATTATGTAACAGACAATTAATTGCCTTTGGCCATAGTCACGTCAAACTTTTTCACAGGATCTTTACCCTGTAGTAACCAAAAGACAAGTGATTGGTACCAGAGTCTAAGAAAAAGACATTTTTAGTCCCATTTTAACAAGAGGTTCCATAAGGTTAGTCTGAGGTTACCCGCCTGGAAAGACCAGCAAAGTTCCCCGGTTCAGAGCAGGGGCTCTGGAACCTGAGGCCTGGGAGGGGCCTGGGACAAGTTATTACCCCTCTCCGGCTGCTGCAGAGATCCACTGAGATCCATGCAAAAATGCTGGGCATTTTGTAAGATCTGTCATGTGCAACTCTCTGTTGTTTTATTGCATGGTTCATGACTCCCAAGCTTTCTGAGGTTCACTAAAGGATGGGGAGGGGTGCATAGGCAGACTGTGGCAGGCTCTTACCCACAGGACCTGTCTAGCTTAGCTGCCTGCACTCCCAGCCTGAACCATCTCTCTCCTCTTTGCAGATCGGGCACATTGAAGGACAGCCTGAGAGGAAGGGGGTCTTTCCAGTGTCCTTTGTTCACATCCTGTCCGACTAGCAGAAAACAGAAGCTTCAGACTGCCTGCGTCCTTCACACAAGACCGCTGCCTCCATGTAACCCCATGCACAATGTGTATATAGCTGCTGTTACAGAGAGACACTCGGGCAAGGGCCACCTCAGGAGAGGATGTAGTGTGCTGTAAATATCTTGTGTTCTTCTGCCTTCGCCAGTATTAGGGTAGCCTCGGCCCGGTTCGCCTTACTGGTTTGCCAAAGCCATCCTTGGCGTCCAGCACTTACATCCATCTATGCTGTTTTATAGACAAACAGGGAAAAAAAAAGCGTAGGAACTGCTGGCTTTGCAAATAGCAGTGGGCTCCAGGGGCCACTGAGGAGCATAGAATTGACTGTGTTCCCAACAGCGCAGTATTCTCAACCATGTTACCAACAATGCAGCGTTAGCAAAGAGGTGGGTTCTGTTCTCCAGGTGACGCTTTCAGTTAGCTCCGTGACAGACCAGTCTGTAGTCATCTGTGTACACAGTTTACAGCTACAAAAACCAACTGTGGTGTTTATTATAGGAGAGTGCCGAGTTAAATGTTTTACACCTTTAGCAAAGTATTCACTGACCCAAAACTCTCTGTAGCGTCTTAACGCACACAGCCTCATGCAAGTTTCAGCAAGTGGATCTGTACTGTCCCTGGCGATGGGTGCCCGCCCTGAGATATTACCTCATTATGCAAAAACATATCCCATGACTATTTTCACAGAAGCTTAAAACACGTCTGATGAAGTTTAACTTTCAGGAACCAGGACTGCCAGAAAATACTAGCCTCTACCATATGCATGCATCTAGAAGCTTACCTGAAATCTGCCTTTTATAAAGGAATAAATAGTGTCAATAAGTTAACTGTACATTTTTTAAACTTGATTGCCATTAAAGCAGAAATTATAAGGTTTAAGAACATTTGTTTCTAGTCACTCATTTGACCTCCAGAGTATGAATTTACGTATTATGAGTCAGCATCCGCTAAATGTGTCAGAGCATCTAAAGATTGTTTTTACATTGTTTTCTTAGTTCTCAGACAAATTTAAAGGATTATTCAAGATAAGGAATTTAGAAATCAACCCTTTACAGTTTTCCCAGTGTAGAATCCAGGTGCTGAAACCAAGCTTTTCTTTCTCCATTCTGTTTCTTAAACCCCAGTTGTAAAGTAACATTCTCCCGCCTTAAGCTCTATCCAAGACAAGTTCCCTTTAAGTCAGTTCATAACCAAGTTCTGGAACGCTGCTGTGACTTGCACTGTGAAAAGGGCGCTCTCTCTCTGCAGAGCCCCTCCCTCCCTCTCTCTCTCCCTCCCCCCGCCCCCTCCCCACCCCGTCTGTGTGTCTGTCACTGCCATGCTTGCGCGCACTCTTCTCTCCCATGTCCTGTTCTTGTTTTGTTTACCGTCCCAGCCACGCGTGTCACCATTGAGAACGTTGTACATGTCTCAGTGTTGACCTCAGCACGAATCTGGGAAGAGCCCAGCAGCTCTATCACACAGTCGGTGGGCCGTTCAGATTCCCAGGCGCATTGCCGCTCTGGCATTACATTCACTTCAACTGCTATTTCGGCAGCAGCACGGAAGACTTTTTAAGCAGATAATCTTGGCAATGAATGAGAAATGTTAATTTCACAGAAGCACAACTCCCAGCAACACTGTAGGAAAGGCCTGCTCTCCCAGCCACAGTGCTCAGTAACCGTTAATTTACTGCTGCTTTACTGGTTACTAGGAACACTCACATAGCCACCTGAACAGCAGACCTTGCGTGACAGACCTGCAAAACACCTATCAGCTGTTAGAGGGAACTAGTTTTAAGCACTTGATTCCTTGATGCCAGGGCACATGTAAACCCCACAGGAAACTAGGCGTGGGCAGCACCTGGCCCTGTGTTGGTTCCGCAATGGAGTCCAGCAGGAGGCCAGCACTGAGGCTGCCCAGTGCACCTCTTCATTCATTATACACTTTTAGTGACATGAAAGAGCCGTTCTTTGTTGTGGCCTAGGCTGTTCTCAGTGATTTGAAAATAAACTGGCTTATAAAACACACACAAAAGCTGTATCTCTAAAATGATGTGGAATCGATGTCTGGTCCTCCCATGTCATAGCACCTCACAGATGCGTTTTCATAGCTTTCTCTTTCTGGTTGTGTTTTCATTTCCATCAGGAAATTGAGTTCTCTAAGCCAGCTTACTGTAGGACATAGGAAAATTAAATAGAAACACCATTGGCAGTCTTGTTGTATTTAAATCTGATCTTATTCTTAAACTCATGAGCCACTATCTGCAATTTTGTACAGGATATAGTATTTTGAAGTTATGGGACCTTACAAAAGAAATAGCAAATTAGTTCTTTCCTGGAAATGGGAAAGTTATGTTCTGCAAATAGCGTGTCTTATTTTACTGTTGAACAGCAATTGCTATTTATTTTTTTATTGCCTAGAACTTGGACACCTTGTATAGGAATCCTGCAGTGCCACTAGTTAGACTCCGGATCCTCATCTGGTTGTTGCCCCAAACATCAGTACCCTTTTCATTTCACATGTATTTAATGTGACAGTTTTCAGTAATGTATGTGTTAATTTCTACTTTTTTTAATATTTAAAATTGCTTTTAAATAAACATATTCTCAGTTGATCCCAAACATCTGAAATCAGGCCATTTTGTGAGTTGTCTGCTGCTCTTCTGAATGGAGAAGTCAAGACTTGGTTGGCTTTGCCCTGGGAGGACCTAACACCAGTCACCATGGCCCCTGGATCAAAGCTTGCAAGTCCCAGCCTTCCCAGCTGACCCATGATGGCCTCGGCACTGGGTCTTGCTGTCAAGTGGCAGTACGCATGCCCAGGGCTGAGTCATAGATGACCCAGGCCCCAGGTGCCCCACTTGTGTCATCTCCTTGGTCCGTGGAGGCCCCCAAAAGGCACAGACCTCTCACTTCAACGGCCCGGAAGTGAGTGAGCCATGTGCAGAAGGTTCCCAGCTCAGAGATCTCCCAAGTGAGGAGTCCACAGCCATGGAGACTCCACGGCAGAAACGGGCTCAGCGGTGGACACCAGGATGAGGTCGCACCATGGGTTTCCTTCCTGAAAGCCAGCCAGTTCAGTCTCCACACAGCCAGGCAAGACACGTGGCTGGGGAAGAAGGGCATTGGCACGGGAGCTGGTGCCTGTGTCCGTTAGAGTGTTTCAGGGAGAAGCTTCCTCAGTGACCTAGAAACTGGACTGGCACAGGTCCCCACCATGGGACCCCAGGTGCTGATGGCAGACGCCCTCGGTCCTGTGTGTGCACCCTGCAGCCACCTGGGAAGCAGGTGTGGTCACAGTGTGCCCTGGAGGAGGAGGAGCCGAAGAGCTGGAGTGCTTGCCCGAGGGCACAGACAAGTGACCAGCAGCTGTGTGACCCTCCTTCCTTTCTGCTCCCCACTAAGCCATCCCACCTGCCCCATCCCAGTGTGTGGGAGCAGGGGTCTTGGCTGGGCTCACCTGACCTTTTCTCCTGTGTACATTCTCCTTGGATTGTACCGCTCCCCGGGAGCAAATGTTTGTTTACCTGGTTTGGAAGTTTGAGTTTGCTCTAACAGCTCACTTCAGGAGGCGGCCGCTGAACAGCAGGCAGGAGGACACCTTCGGCCAGGCCTTTCTGTCCATTGCTTGGAGTAGAGACAGAGGTGTTGTTGTGACCCTAGGCCTCAGCACTCGGTGTTCACAAGACCAGACAGCCCTGTGCAGAGCGCTGCGTTGAGGCTCACGTCATCTCAGTAGTGCTGCCAAGGGAGCCATGGTCCCCTCCTACATTTGACACCAAAAGATGCGTGATCATAACCAAAGTGGGGCCACGTGTGATCATGGTGGCTCAGTGTGGTGCCTGTGTGTGACACCCCCACCCCATGTCGCCCAACCTGGACTTCAACTTTCAATCCTCCTGCCTTAACTCCCAGAGCGCTGAGGTCATAGCGGTGGGCCACCATCTCATGGCCCTGTGCTGCTCTGTTTGAAGAGAAACAGTCAAAACTGGCCTGCCCAGGCCTCTCCCTGCAGGTCAGCCGTCAGGGCAGCATAAACACTGAAATGAGGTTTGTTCAGAAGTGACAGTGCCTGTTGGAAGGGCCCACAGGAGTGTTTCTGGACAGCAACCTGGGGACAAGCAGAAACTGTCCCAGGGTCCTAGAGTGTGACCGAGACTGAGGGACAGCTCGAGTCTGAGCCCGGCAGCCCGAGGGCGCACTGAACCTTGCATGCTCTGAGCAGGAGTTGGAGCAACATGAGCTGCGGTTCTGCAGAAGTCTTGCCACACAGGAAGCCCCGAAGAGGCTCGGTGGGCCAGGACTTCGACTGCAGAACCACAGATGGAGAAGCGTTGTTCAGCTTCACACTTTAGCAGGGAGAATTGAAACTTTGCTTTGAGGGACTGGGGATTTAGCTCAGCGGCATAAGCACCTGCTTTGCAAGCAGGCAGTCATGAGTTCCATCCCTGGTACCGGAAAAAAGGAAAAAAAAAAAAAAAGAAAGAAACTTCGCTTTATAGTTCCAAGTAGATTTGAGAGAGAGCGCTCTGGCCTGAAAATACAACGGGCCTCGGTTTCCAGATTTTGGCCAGCATCCTCTGCGGTCTTCAGTATTAAAGCCAGATTACTGAACAAGGCATGGTGACACAGGCCTATAATCCCAGCAGTGGGAAGCTGAGGCAGGAGGATTACATATTCAAGCCCATGTAACCCAGCATTTAGGCTGAGGCAGAAGGATTGGCTCAGGTTCTAAGCCAGCCTGAACTGCACAGCAAGACCCTGTCTCAAAAAACTAAAAAAAAAAAAAAAAACTCAGTCTGAGCAGCTCGTCAAATTTGTAAGACTGTGTTTCAAAACAATTATTTTTTAAAGGGATTGGAATGCAGTTCAGTGCAGAAGACCCTGGGCTCCACTCCCAGTACTGAAAAGAGAGTTCACCTCCTCAAAAATACTTTACTTGCCTCCCCTAGTGACAAGTGACAAATTAGAGAAATGAACCTGTGACTGCTTGACATGCAGTCGGTGACCACTGGCATTCCCCCAGTGAGTGCAGGACCCGAAGCCTCCCGCAGTACCTAGAGGGCACCCAGGGGTGGGTGGAGAAGGCCAAAGCAGCTTCTACAGTGTGCTTCACTGCCAGGGGCGCTGGGATTCCCCAACACTCCCCCAGCTGCATCCTAAAGGGACCGCCAGCTGGCCTGGCGCTCAGTCACCTTTGACCCGGTAGACCTGGAGCCCACAGGCAAGGGCTGCCCACCCCTTGCCCCAGGTTGTCACTGCTGCACGTCATGCACTGGATGAATTTGCTAGAGCAGCTCACAGAACACAGCAGACATATCTGCAGGGTTGTTATAAAGGCTATGAGGAAAGTCTGAGGAGGAGAGGCCAGAGGAGGACAGGAGTCCACTACTCCAGGAACTGCCTCTGCACCTGCATCCGGAGTGGCTGATGGGAAGCACCCCAAAACCTGTCATTTGAGGGTTTTGTGGATGTTTCATTACATAGGCATGATGAATTAAATCACCAACCTCTAGTGATTAATTTAACCCCAGCCTTTCTGCCCTCCTGGGAGGTTAGGAATGGGGCTGAAAGCGCCTAACCTGCAAACCTGCCCTGGTCTTTGCAGTGACCAGCACCACTGCTAAAGCCAGTAGGAGCAGCCAGCCAGCCTTCATCTGCGTACAAAAAGACACTTGGCACTGAGACTCCAAGGATTCTAGTTGTGTGCCCTAAAGAGGAAAACCAAATACCACATAGGACTTTCAGACCTCACAGCACCTGTGGCTGAAAGGGGTCACATTCGCTGGTCTCCTCTCAAAGCATGGGCAGTATCCATCCCCAGGGAGGGCTCGAAGGCCCTGCCCACTCCCACTGCGTTGTGCTGCTGGCATCAGGCAAGTTAGCTGCTTGACGGGGCCAGGATCCACAGGAACCCATCGTCTGAATGTGCAAACTTAGTTCCCACTCAGCTGGAGCACTTAAAAACTCCAGCCACTCAAGCATGGGCAGGAAAATCAACCGTGGTTCAACGCCAAGCTGGACAATAACTAAAAACAAATCTGGGGCAACCCACTTTCTGGGTCCTCTCTGTCTCTCTTAGAAACTTTCTTTCTCTCAGTAAATTCTTCCTACTCTTAACCTCTGTTGTCCCTAGAATTCATTCCTCGATTTTAGAGAATACAAAGTTGGTGTTTTGGACAGCCAGCTCGCTGGGAGTTATATTTCCATTATATCATTCTGAGGTCTTCCACCAAGATAATTGGACAGAAGAGGTAAGAGTTTGCTGTCATTTTCATAGATCCTGGGTTGTGACTCGCTTAGGTAAAAACAGCAGATCTCAGACACCAGGAGTCCCCTGCTAGCTCTGTCTCTGGCCACCAGTCAGCCCCTGTCAGGAGTGCCCTGTATGGCTCTGCCTCCCGAAGAAAGTGGGGACGCAGGAGCGCCAGGAGCACCCAGGGTTGCCCCTCCCAGCTGGTCCTTGTGGCATACAAGCCCCATTCTCTCTGTGCCAAAACAGAGGACACCAGGTGGTGACCCAGCTTCCAAGGAAGGGAACCAAGGGGGTGGTGGAGAACAGGAGAAAAGGCAAAGTGAAATCCACCAGCAATGTCAGTGAGAGCTAAAGAGATGCCAGAGCCCTTGGTGAAAATGCATGCATGTGTTGGCCAAAAGCCACTGAAGTCAGTGCAGATCTGTTCAAAATCTTACAAGGCTACCCTAGTTGGCCAACAGTGGAATGTATGTGAACTGGAAATAGACACAGTTCCAGTAAGAAGAATGAACTTTTTACAACTGTCCAGTACAAGCTGGCTGAATCTCATGCTGAACTTGAGAACCCAGGCTCAAAAGGACTTACTGTGTTATTTCACTTAATGTAGAGGAGTAGAGAGTCTCTGTGGGATACTTCTGCAACCAGTTCACCTCTAGGAGGGGGTCCAGGGAGAGGATTTGGGGTGCAGATACCATTCAGTTTCTCTAAGCACTGGTCACAGGCTCTCACTTCTGGCTTGCGTTCAGTGGCTTGGTTGGATGGCTGGTTTTGTGGTCTTGGACAGTGAACCCAGGCCATGACTTGTGCTAGGCACGGGCCCACCCCTGAGCCGCGCCCCAGCCTCTGACTGACGTTTTCCCATCTGTGTGCTCTTCCCAGGGGTATGCTGGTAAAGGTTTAGCTCTTCTTAAAACCTTTACTTGTAGCATTTTTGCCAGTTCCTGTGGTGTAAATATTCCTCCTATGACTGATTATAAGCTCCCCAGATGGCGTCATGGAATTCTCTTTTTAGTTTTCTTTTCTTTTCTTTTTTTTCCATTTTCTCAGTCTCTCTGTGTGGAGTAGGCTGGCTTAGATTTCACAATCCTCTTGCCTCAGCCTCCTGAGTGCTGGAATTATAGTGTGTACAAGCCTTTAGCAGTGTTTTGTTTTGTTTTGTTTTGTTTTGTTTTTCAAACAAAGTCTGCCAAAATGCAAGGTGAGAACAGGGGCAGGATGAGAGAAGCCCCTTCTTACTCCAACCCCTGCCAGCCCACCAACCAGTACTGACACTTTTTTTTAAAGGATCGAAACTTTTATTGAGATAATCTATATACCATGTACTTCACTCCTTTAAAGTGTACAAATACTTACGAGTCGTGTGACT